TACAACAAGGATTACAGAATTGTGAGCATTATTTGATTGTGTTGAGATTACATTATCGTCGTAAATGTCACATTCGCTGTAATTCGAAAACACTCAATCTGATAGCCAAGTGTAAATATTGGAAAGAAATTGTTGGTTTTGCAATACAACCGACATGTACAATTCATGACAGTTCAAATAAGAAAAGAATATATTTATCATGGTTTGCAATCAGTTTTAACTGAAATATGTGTGCGACATATATATATCAAGTATATCGCTATATAAAGGTATATTTTGAAAATTTTGTTATCATTTATTTATTTGTTCCAGATTGTTAACTAATATATGCGTGTTTTTAGGATTGGTAAGATTATGTTCATTATGCGTCTCTATGGTTCATGAAATGTTTGTTGAAATTACAATTTTGACTTTTAAAATGCAAGTCACACACAATACTGACTCAACTTGGCAAGTGTTTATCAATAGAAATGGTATTCTTTATGTTTATATCAATTAAAATTTTAAACTTCATTTTTTGTATCAATTAAAAAAGTATACTTCATTTTATATCAATGAAACTGGTAGACATCATTTTTATACCAATGAATTTGGTATACTTCATTTTCATATCAATTAAATGGGTATACTTCATTTTTATATCAATTAAAAATGTATACTTCATTTTTTACACCAATGAGAATGATATACTTCATTTCTTGTGTGTATCTTAAATCCTGTTTGTTATAATTATTTAACATCACGTATTACATTGTATTAATGGAATGCCACCAATGTACCACATTATTCTCTTACTAAATGTATAACATTATGTATAAACTTATAGACTTATTTATGTTAATGGGGTATTCGAGCTATAACAAATTGACTTCCAATGTATGACTTGACGTCAGCATTTCGTAATAGCTCATATCATTTGTTCAATATATGATTTGATATTTCAAAGTTCAAAGCTATATTTTCTATTAAAGCACGCTTGATTCTTAAAAATAAAATGTTAAGGTTAGATTGAACGAATGCTTACAACATGCACTTTTCTCTGTATTTGAAATGCAAAAGGTTTAACGCTTGTCGAGTGTAAAAAACGACACACAACACTTTGCTTAACTATTGAACAATCAAGCGTCGCAAGAAATACCAAATGAAGAAAACAATGAGTGTCATTGCAGCTTTAGAACTGATCGGAATAACAATATTCCTGATTCGAAATGTCATTAAACAATGGACTAATGTAAGGTTGACCTTTCACTTAACTAAATGAACGGCGGCACATCAATGTTGCAATTTGCTTTCTGTACTCTCATATATTTCATACATTCACAATGTATGTCTCACGTTCTTGCTCTCTATTAAATCCATATATATTTGATTCGTAAGATATATTGTGATTATCAATAAATATTTCTGTAGCATCATTATGAATTGAACTTTATAAATACAAGCTATATAGATACAAATGTTTTGTCTTGGTACAACTTAAGACATTTGTTTCTAATCGGTTAAGGCAAAAATCAATATGCGCTGTTTACTTATTATTAAAGACGCATTTTACGGTTAATCAATGTATGCAGTTAAATTATTATTAAAGAATCAAGAAATTAACGAATTATATATACAATGTACATAAGAAGATCTCTAGTACTTAGAAACTATTTTGTCCGTTTTAGAGATAAAGATTCTAATTAATAGAGAGAAGCATGGTTATCAATATAACATTATAACTGACCAGAATAATAATGTTCCTGATTTAAAATTTAAACAACAAATTTGTGGATCTCAATAAACTAAATGAAGAAAGTAACATAAATTGTCCAGCAATGCTTCACTCTCTTAAACCTTAATTAGTTCCTACATTCATGACGAGAATCTCTAATCTTATTATTTTTGTCATCGCAGTTGATATTTTCAGGATACTACGATGCGACTATAATTTTCTACAAAATTAAGCTTAGAGTCATTTAATTAATTAGAATAAATGTGAACGTCACACTGCTTAACTTATGACAATATGAATGTATATTCATAAGTCGAAGTCCCGATGTGTCGAAGTTTCTACGCAAGTATCTCAACTTCGACATACTGAAGTTTTCCTTTCTATGAGGCTGTAGAGAGGGTATATGGCTAAAATTGTCGATCCTTCAAGCATGTAACTAATTTTTGATAGAGTCGGATGCTAATTTGTAAGACAAATTTATTGACAAATACATATTCATATCTATGTCAGATTCAAACTGCACATTAGATAAAACTGAAATTTCATATATTATGTAGCTTATCATTTTTGTTGTTATTTTCGAAATAAACAAGTCGAATAAAGATAGAATTGATGTAATTGATTATTGGCAGAAAACATGAATTTATTACAATATGATCATCATTCCATTTGTGTTAATTTTTCTTTCTACAAATCTGCAAATTTATATTTGATTATATAGTATTTACTGATATATTTTATATGTTTATCATTCTGAAAATTTTAAAGATGGACGCTAAATCAAAGAGGTTAAATTTTGATAAAGACACCTGATCTGAAACTAACTATTCTTTAATTAAGATAAAGCTACAGTTTAATACTCATAGGATATAGGTTCAAACTTTTACAATAACATTTTCATTTAGATAACAGAGGTTTAAAACCATTTGATCTCAAGTCGAATATACCGAAAGTTATTCCACTGATACACTTAATGGAAGTTAACAAGGAAGACATGGAATATGCAAAAACGCCATGTCTAAAATATGTTTTGCATCATACCAGTTGAAGAATCTGTTTCATGTAAATGACACATATTCATAAACTTATATAAAACATTCTATCATTATAAATATGTCATCATTTTTCTGCAATGTTTATGTTTATAATATCTAATGCAAATATAAACAACATAAGTTTTTATAGTATAAATATTATGTATAAAGCTTACTATAGAAGTGCTGTAAACATATGGCAGGTGTAGCTTTGAAATATTTGGCATGGTATATTAACCTCGTTGAAAACTCATGATGATATATTTGATGAACGGACTGCATTTTTCTACAAAAATAAAAACTAGTCAGTAAAATATGTTTTATCATATCAGAATTATGTTTTACGTATTGATATTATTATTATTATTATTATTATTATTATTATTATTATTGTCTTAAAATAGAGAAAATCAGAATTCCTAAAGGAACCCGTAAAGGGCAAAATTGATAATGTTGCAGGCTCGGTTTGATTGAGCCTGTTCATTGACGATACTGGAAAAGTGCAACTTACCGTCACCGCCCGCTATCACCGGCTTAAGCAGAATTCTACATTTAAACACGAAAATGGTGACTAAACCTTTATAAAAATTAGACTTTTGTATCAATTTAGAGTCTCAATACTACGCGGGGTTAAGTTAACTATGAGTACTGATGCACTAAGTATAGATTGTAATTAAATAAACTGCAACAACAAAACAATGATAGCGTACATTTAAAGGTATTCAACAGTATTTGTTATCTACATGTATATGTAATTTACGTTTTTGTCATTCTTTGATTTCTTTGATTACCTTTTGAAGAAAATGATTGTGAAATTTGGGATTTTTAAAACATTGTTTGCACAATGATATACCAAAAATAACCCTTCTTTGATCTAGTAGATGTTTGTTTGTTTGTTTCATTTTACGCCTTTTCCCAACAGTATTTCAGTCATGTAGACAGGTAGTGTCCTAACCATCGTTCTTGGAGAGTAACACCAGTACTAGACTACCTTCCTCCGTGCTAAACTACCAAAACATCTCCCGGGGATTGATCCCACGCCAGAGAGGTAATTGGATTAGAAGTCATCGAAGTCATGGAAAGGCCTAAAGCCCTAACCCAAGTAATATGTCAGGAGATTTCCACGTGGCTTGGTCATTTTTTGCACCGGCGATTTGTTCTTTCCCTATGTAAATTTCGGGAAGAAAAAGCATATTCACGAGCCTACTATTTAAAAGTTCTTTGATCAATTCCGTTGCAAATTTGATTTTGTACAACTAGAGAGCGTCTTCTTTGCACATGAAAAGGCTTAACGCCCTAACCCAAGTCATATGTCCAGGAGATCTCCGCATGGCTAGGTCACTTGCCATCTATTTATTGATTGGCTAAATAATGCTTAATCTAGTAATTAATATGGTACCTGATATTTTCAAAGTGTAATAAAATCAAAACTAGACGGTGAAAGTATTTAATATTTTACAAGATCAACCAATATACTTTTTGGAAAAAGGGAAACTTTGAAAACAGGCACTCAATCGCGTAAATTTTAAGGATTTTTAGGCTCCCTAAGTAGGAAAATAATTAAATAATAAAAAATAAACATTTTTATACCCAAAATGGATGGAAAGAAACATAAATAATGTTAAAAGAAAAAAAAAGAAAGAAAAAAATGACCCATCTGAGGTTTGAACCCATGGCCCTCAGTTTTAATGTAGTTAACAGTAGTTAGCCTATTTGAATACTCTTCAAAGTGGAGGTAAGGCATTAGGATGGTAATACCTTAATTCAAAATAATATTTTAAACATTCTCACGGCCATTTAAATAACTACTTATCAAATTCAGTGAATCTTTTTTTTAAACATTCTCACGGGCATTCCAATTTTTCTTATCAAATTCATGGACTCTAAATAATAGTTTGGAAAGCAAATTCATGGACTTTAAACAATAGTTTGGAAAGCTCGTAACTTGTAAAATCTGTTTTTCTCACGAGTATGACATATGTACCATTCGATAAAATTACCCATCGTGAAGGACTGACCAAACTATAGCAACAAATACTTAGATACTGAGACTTATTTGATAAAACTATTTTTTCAATTTTAGAATTGTATGCATGTATTATATGTAGCATATGACTAAAATTACAACATTGACCTAGGCACCAAGTCATTTCAATATCTTGAAGATAAAAATATGCATTTCCAATTTTAGAAACGTATACATTAAAGTCGTATATTAGTACTTTAATCACTAATATATGCAAGACATACTACATGACACTGACCTCATTTCTTATCTATATGTGAACACAATATTATAATTTTAGCAATTTTTATGAAGTATTGCTCTAATGAGAATAGAAGAGAAAATGTTTCTGGTGTATATAATACTCAGTGTTATTCTATTTGGGATGGCAAAGACTGAAACTGGTAAGAAACAAAAACGAATTATATCGAAAGGAAGTATAATGATATAACATTTATTTAAAGATAAATTATACAATGTGATATGTGTTTGCCTTTCTCTTTGATTTTGATAACAAGACTCGAAGCCATATATGTGTACATTTTATTAGTTGTAATTGAAATAATCTTTTCTTCGCAAAACTCATCAATCTATTTATTTATTTATCTATAGAAACAGAAGCTGCTATTCTAAAACGGTTGGATGTGTATGAAGGTGTAATTCAAGAGCTTCTGCTTAAAGTGGATACTCTATCTTCACAAGACCAACTTCAGAAAATGCAAATTGCAAGCTTGGAGAATAAGATGCAGGTCCAACATGAACGTACCATCCATTTGGAAAATCTAATTAGGCGACTAAGTGTGAACCATAGAAAGAGAATGCAAATAAGAGGAAAAAAGGCAACTGTTCAAGCCGAAGTGGAAACCGATACCATCAGAGGAAGTGGTATATTTTCGACATTTTTCTTCAGGTTAAATTGCAATAGCAAGGTTAATTATGTCTTTAAAGTATTTTATTTGTCATTCAACGTTATCGTAAGTTGCAACACATTGAAAATAAGAATGAAGTACTATTTGGTTTATCTTTATAGACATTTGCAGCGCACTCAGTCTATATTTAATCAATTAAAATATATTTCATCCAAAATGAAAAGTTTCTATTAAATTGTTTTACAGGCCAACAAATAAATAGGATAAGGAGACAAGAACCTGAAACACAAGTCGCTTTTTTCGCAAAGATGGGCAAACATTTGGAACATGCTGGCATTCATCAACCATTTATTTTTGAAAATGCTGTTACAAATATTGGAAACGGATACAATCCGCATCTAGGATCATTTGTTGCTCCAGTATCAGGAACATACGTGTTCTCTACGACGCTTGTTTCATTATTCCATGTCAGTGGCTATGCTCAATTTGTAAAAAATGGAAAAGCAATCACAAATATGTACGTAAGTGGTGTAGAGTCCGGAAATGATACCACAGCCCAAACTATTGTTCTTCAGCTTCAAAAAGGAGATGATATAACAATACAAAACCTGATGTCTGACAAGTCGTTCTATGGTCATGGACATAGCATCTTTTCTGGATTTTTGTTGTATGAAAACTATTCTTCAAGTCCTATCGTTGGGAAATAATATAATGAGTACAATAAATGTAAGCAAGTAATAAGATGCCTTATCATTTTATCCACACTCTATAAAAATGATATTCAACATTCCAAAAAAATGGTTTGTAGAATAAATGAAAATATGCATAAAATTTATATGTTATCTTTCCGTCTTTTAACATTCATTCAACACACACTTTTACATATACATGTATGCAGATATGCACATTTTCAATATGTGTTTACTGCAACTGACTGAGTATCTAATGCTTAATTTAGGAACCAGCATTTTCATGAACATATGTGTGGAAGTGTTCGATCTTGCATAACAAGGGAACCAAAATTTTATATACGTCATATTTCAGTGGTTACACTACTACCCGACTGTAGGCCCTCCTAACGCGCTTATATCAGTTGTTCTTTAGGAAACAAATCAAAGTATGATGGATTTGACTCAATTTCAGAGAGGGTGTGGCAAAGTTTCCAAGTCATATTACGTCAAATGTGACACTCGTCCAGGTTTTTTAACTGCGGTGTTGTCATGCGATATAAATGCAATAATAAGTTTTTATTTTTATTGGCGATAACCATCATCATATTCAAATATCTTTTTCTTCGTCTTATTCTTATAAGGCCCATGTGTTCCATTTTGTCGTTTCAGTTCTGCGTCATAACAACGTTATCAAAATATCATCTATTGAAACGTCCGTGTTAAGAAACATATCACTCGCATTTTGGTATATTTTTGGTAACCAATTAAGATACATTCATTTTGCACGTTTCTGCTCAGGATGCAGAGCATTGGGTACCCACCTTTAGGCAATACATTAGAACGGGATAAACAGTGTAAGAGATATTGAGGCAGTCTTTCTTGATTTTGATTAACCTTTGTTAATGAATCATGTTCATTTGTCATATTTTATATGAAATAACAAAAGATAAAAAGAGATAACGGAAATAAAGGACCTAAATTTCACTTATGGAAAGAAATACTCTTGGAAAAAACGTCTTAGCATGAAACCAAAATAGCATGCTAAGCATCTTAGTCTTTTTTCATAAAAAAATGGACCTGATGAAAGATTTTTGATGTTTCTAGAGTAAAGTATATATTATGTTTTTAATTATCATGACGCCTTATAATGATGTCAAATATTTTGAAAGTTGTAGAATTTTCAATTTTGAATCATAAACATTGTTCTTTTCGTCAGATAACATTGACATGTTTGCTATATGTGAAAATAAAAACGAAAATAAACGCGGAAACAATTTCTGAAATCATCTTTCATCACATTTTAATTGGGATAAAATTACTTTCCTAATGTTTTAAGCCATGGAGTTCGTTGTCAACGTTTTTAACTTATATGGATGTTAACCTTATTCACATATGTCTTATATGTAATCAGAATCAATATTTCATCACGACAAACAATGTGTTTGTTGAAAACAAGGAATCCCTATAGACTTATGATTGTGGAAATTCCATTACGTGAAATGCTCTCCATTTCTTGCCGTACGTTATCTCCAACAAGGTTAACAGTTCTGTGAGTATTATCTGATTGGGAAGAGGTTATAGTATTGCAGAAAATATCACCTGAGTGTATTGTTATTCAAAAATGCCCAATATTCTATTAACACTTCTATGTAAAGTAGTGTAAGAACACGAATATGTATTTGAAACTTTTTTTCAAAAGCATGATGCTGAATCAATTTTTAAATTGACGTCTTGTTCTCATAACATATATCTACTTATGAAATGCAAGATTATATCTTTAAATAAATATTTTATAGCTCGGACAAATGAAAGACAGAAGAGGGTTTTTTGTGCACTGCTCTTTTCCTCCAGGATATATTTCAACTTGTAAAGTTTTGATTAAGTATAAATAGATTATTTCGATTTAAAATTTCAATTCCAATTATTTTTTTTATTTTAAATGATCTTATTTGTGTCGCTTTTATCCTAATCTCTTACCTTATATATAATTAAATGGCACCTGACGAGTTTATATGTTAGAACAGAGAAAATAAGTTTTATCAATAACACTTGTGGAGGTCCGAAGAAGACCCAGCTAAATGACAACTCGAGCCACTATATTGCCGATTTACATATATAACGTGCTCCATGTCGAATTCTTGGTTTTGATTTTGCGTCTAAATTCAAAAAGAGGCCCTTAATGTTCATTTGTTTTATTTTTCAGCGTTATATATCTGAACCATGTTTGATATACAATTACAGTATTCATATTTAGAATTTGACGAGGAGTTACAAAAACATCAAATATATAAAGAAGTTATAAAATTATATATTTGATGAATCACAATAAAAAAGATAATTTAGTTTTAAAGATTTTATGACATAACATCGGACTCGTTTTACAGAAAATAAACGTACAAAATAAATTTAGTAAAGTATCATATTTAAGGACTTGAAACGGACATGTATATACGCATTTATATGACTATAAACCTTTATCTTTGAATTTCTAGTTGTATCAAATGAAAAAATAATCTAATTTATGCTCAAAAACAGACATAGCTAGTAAAATTATTGCATGATATCTTAAAGAAATATCTTTAGGAGATTGTTGAAATGAAATGACAAAAATTCCATAATCATAGTTAAAGTTAAAAAATATTGTTTTGTTAAAGATGCAAGTTAAGTATAATATAGCAGCCGTAGACATCTAATAAAATGAATGTAAAGTACATGTTGTTCTTATTTATTTATTCATTTATTTATTTATATATTTATTGTATTTTATATTTTTCACTCAATTTGGTAAAATATTCGGCTCACAGAATTCATTTGAATGGAACATTTTAATAACAGAGAAAGCCTCTCTATAAAAACTAACCAGTTCCGCTTTATACATAAAATAGGTCAATTTTACATTACATTTATATTATCATTTATCATACAACATTTACAAAGTCACAATATCAACATTTGTTCAGTTTTAAATTTCCAACTTCCAAAGTGTGTTCGTTTTATAGACAATAAAATAAAGTTACTATAGTTACTAATTTTGACGATTTCCGTGGATATAAGATATCAAGAACACTTCATCTTCATAGTACACTTGTTTGACCTGATTTTGAAAATGAACGATAATGAAATGAATTATAATTATAAAGATTTCTTGCATATTACAAATTTAATTGATTTTGCAGTAGACGAAACATCCACATAATTAGCCTCTAAGTTTTCATTTTTTTATTCTGGAATTCAAAAAGATGTTTTTGTTTAAAAAGTTGTAATATGATTTATTACAGAATAAACTTTCTTAACAAAACGTTCCTCGCATTACACCTGGAATAATGGTTCACTTTATTGTGCGTTTTTAATTGAACCATAAGTTCGGATGGTAACCTTGTACAATTATGTCTTACATGTCATCAGAATCAATATTTCATCAAGATATCTAATGTATTTGTTGGAAACAAGAACTCCCAATGGACCTATGATCCTAGAAATTTCATTAAGCGGAAACTCTTCGTTCATTGTTGTAAATTATCTACAACAAGGCTAACAGAATTGTGAGCATTATTTGATTGTGTTGAGATTACATTATCGTCGTAAATGTCACATTCGCTGTAATTCGAAAACACTCAATCTGATAGCCAAGTGTAAATATTGGAAAGAAATTGCTGGTTTTGCAATACAACCAACATGTACAATTCAAGAAAGTTCAAATAAGGAAAGATTATAATTATGATATGTCATCAGTTTTTACTGAAGTATGTGCGCAACAAATATATATCAAGTTTATCATTTTATACAAATATATTTTGAAAACTGTGTTATCATTTATTTATTTTCTTCAGTTTATTAAGTAATATGTGCGTGTTTAAAGGATTGGTTAGATTAAGTTTTATATGCTATTCTATGAATCATATAGAGGATATTTGTTTGTTTGTGTGTAAGATGAAATTTTATTTCATCAAGTGGGCTTTAAAACAGTATTCTCACGAGTGGCGTAGCCACGAGTGAGAATATTGTTTTTAAAGTTCACGAGATGAAATAAAATTACATATTACACAACAAACAGACAAATTTTCTTTTTATTTTATGCTTTAAAACAAGTTAAAACGAAATCTCCATAATTTTAACTTTAATATTAAAATCTGTTTCCCCCATTGAGAGCCCCATTTAGAGGGAATTTCTCATTAAAAACAAGAAGTCTTGAGCTGAAAAATAAGTCCGCCAATCAAGGTTAAATGACGGTGATATTTATTCATTTTATTAAAAAAATATGAATGATCGCTTGTTTAAATAATAAAAACAAACATTTCTTGTAGGAGAAAAAGTCCAACCATCCATCCATATTTCTGTTACTTACTGCGAATTTATATTAGACCTGGCTTTGTAAAATGTAAGCGGCAGCCATTTTTTTAAAGTTGTGTATTTCATGGGAGGAAAATTATTGTGTAAGATTCAGAAGGATATAATTTGGATTTGTTAGTCATACACCTTTTTAAAAGAAAGAAAACTTATTTGAGGATTGTAACAGACAAAAAATAAGTGTTGACAGAAGTGAAAACATTCAGAAAAGGAGCTAGGAAAATGGAAAACTTGGAAGCTTGCTAAGGCATTGTAAGGAACGCTGGGTTGTTTTACTTATTTTACGAGTGATGGCTGTCAATGCTTTTCAATTTTTCATAAAGCATACGGCAGTTATTGCTCGTAGGATACTTTAATATGCCCAAATGTCATCAAGAGCAGTTTAGCATGGGGAAGGAATGTATTTTTCAAACTGTAAAAACGAAACAAAAAAATTAAGAGACGAAATTTTGTGATTGGAATTTGAAGGAATAGAAGTAAGTTTTCTCTCTTTATTACTTTTGACATTTAAGTTATTTATCTATTTCAGCTTTGCTATTTTTTTTAACAGCCATATATTGTCAGAATTGTTAGTAAAAATAAAATTGAGGTACCACATGGGGAAAATCTTAAAAAAGTAGTTTCGTCATTGAAAAAAGTGAAGTTATATTTTGATAATTTTCACTGTGAAATTATCATATATAATTTTCACGGATAAATCAGTAATCCACTGAAAAGCATAAAATAAGAAATGTTTGTTTAAAAATTACAATGTTGACCTTGAAAAGAAAGGCAAGTCACACATAATACTGACTCGACTGGGCATGTACATGTGTTTATCAATAAAATGGTATTCTTCATGATTATATCAATTAAAATGGTATACTTCATTTTTGTATCAATTAGAATGGTATACTACATTTTATATCAATGCAAATGGTATACACCATTTTTATACCACTAAAATTGGTATGCTTCATTTTTATATCAATTAAATGGTATACTTCATTTTTTTCATCAATAAAAATGGTATTAATCATTTCTTGTGTGTATCTTAAATCTCGTTTGCTATAATTATTTAACATCACTAATTAATGGAATGCCACCAGTAAACTTACCACATTACTCTCAAACAAAATGTATAATATTCTTTATAATTGTCAAGGCATTTGCAGACTTAGTTATGTTAACGGGGTATTCGAGCTATAAACAATTGACTTCCAATGGCGGCAACATTTCGGAAAAGCCATATTATTTGTTTCTATTATTTGTTCCATAATATGTGCTTTGATATTTAAAAGTTGACTGATGCTTAAGCAATATTTTTTGTTGCAGCAGTTTTATTCAAAATAAATAAAATGTTAAGGTTAGATTGAACGAATGCTTACAACATGCACTTTTCTCTGAACTTGAAATTTGCAAAAGGTTTAACGCTTAAGCAATACTTTACTTTACTCCTGAACAATCAAACGTCGCCAGAAATTAACCAAATGAAGAAAACAATGAGTGTCATTGCAGCATTAGGACTGACCGGAATAACAATATACCTGATTTATTTGAAATCTTGTTAATCAGTGGACCAATGTAAGGTTGACCTATCACTTAATTGAATGAACGCCGGTACATCAAAGATGCAATTTGCTTTATGTGCTCTCATACATTTAATACATTCATTAATGTGTGTCTCAAGTTTTGGTACTTCAATCTATATATAGATATGGATTAATTGATATATTTTGGTTATTACTAAATATTTCTGTAGCATCATTATGAATTGAGCTTTAAAAATACAAGCTATATAGATACAAATGCTTTGTCTGGGTAGAAATTAAGACATTTGTTCAAATCAATCAATATGTGCTGTTAACTTATTATTAAAGACGCATTTTACAGTTAATGAATGTATGCGGTTAAATTATTATCATAGAATCAATAAATAAACGCATAACATATACAAATACATAAGAAGTATTTTAGTACTGAGAAACTATTTTTGTCCTTTTTAGAGATAAAGATTCTAATAGAAGGAAGCATGGTTATCATTAAAACATTATAACTGACCAGAATAATGTTGTTCCTGATTTGCAATATAAACAACAAATTTGTAGATCTCAATAAACTAAATGAAGAAAGAAAAACAAACCGTCCAGCAATGCTTCACTCTTTTAACCTTAATTAGTTCCTACATTCATGACGAGAATCTCCAATCTATTATTTTTGTCATCGCAGTTGATATTTTCAGGATAAAACGATGTAACTATAATTATCTTCAAAATTAAGATTAGGGTCATTTAGTTAAATAGGATACATTTGAACGTCACACTGCTTACTTATAACAATATGCATGTATATTCATAAGTCGAAGTCCCGATGTGACGAAGTTTCTACTTAAGTATCTCAACTTCGACTTACTGAAGTTTTCCTTTCTATGAGACAAAAGAGTGTATATGGCTAAAATCGTCGATCCTCCGAGCATGCTACTAATTTTTCTAATGAAGTCGGATTCATATTTGTAAGACTTTATTGACAAATACATATTCATATCAATGTCAGATTCAAACTGCACATAAGATAAAACTGAAATTGTATATATTATGTAGCTTATCAATATTGTTGTTATTTTCGAAATAAACAAGTCAAATAATGATTGACTAAATTAATTATTGGCAGAAAACATGATTTTATTAAAATATGATCATCATTTTATTTGCGTTTATTTTTCTTATTTAGATTTGATCATATAGTATTTAAAAATATATTTAGACGTTCATCATTTTGAAAACTTTGAAGATGGACGCTAAATCAAAGGGGTTTAATTGAAATAAAGACACCTTATCTGGAATTAACTATTCTTTAATTGTCTGTTGAGATATAACTACAGTTAAGTATTCATAGGATATAGGTTCAAACTTTTTAAATAACAGCGGGATTTAGATAACGGAGGTGCATTTAAATTGTTTAAAACCATTTGATCTCAAGTCCAATATACCGAAAATTATTCCATTGATACACTTAATGGAAGTGAACATAGAATACATGGACTATTAACAATGCCATGTCTAAAATATGTTTTGCATCATGCCATGTTGAAGAATCTGATTCATGTAAATGACAAATTCACAAACTTATCTGAAACAATCTATCATGATTATAAATATGTCATCATTTTTCTGCAATGTTTATGTTTATAATATCTTATGCAAATATTAACACAATAAGTTTGTATAGTATAAATACTGCTTAAGTGTTGCAAACATATGGCAGGTGTAGCATTGAATGATTTGACATGGTTTATTAACCTCGTTGAATATTCATGATGATATATTTGATGAACGGACTGCATTCTTCTACCAACGAAAGAAGCACACACAAAAATAAATATTTGTTGGTAAAATATGTCTTATCATATCCGAATTTAAGTATTACGTAAAACCCCTTAAGTTAGCCCGATCAGCTTTTTGTTTGCCAAAGAGCTGAATTACAAATATAAAATAAATATTGAAGTACATACTATACAATTATTGACTTGTGAGCCATTGAATATGATGTGATATTCACCGGCAGATGACATATTGACCGAGGCGATAGTCAATAATTGTTTTATTATATGAATAGGCTAAGAATTAAAAAAAATCACGAAAAAGTACATCCTTATATACATGTACAAATTTTGCCTCGTTGAAGCGCGGGAAAAAAGACGCACGTGTTAGGCGTGCAACGACTACGCGAACGCTGCGCATACAAAAGAAATTCAAGTTTATACTCATCGATACGGTTTAGCCTTTAAGTATAACAGTAAAGTAATGATATTTCAATCGAGAAATATGCCATAAAGAACAAAACGCAACAATTATTTTTTAATTAACACACGTAATTAACAGTCTACGGTGTATGGTCATTGAATATGAGTCTCAATCTATATTTAGACTTGGAAAATCCAATTCAGCCAGTTAATATGATACTACACCCAGTGAATATGTTTTTATAAAAAGTTATGTTGACTACAGTTTGGACCAATGAGATTGCAGCTATTTTTAGATCATATAATAAACATTCTTATTGATCGGTAAATGATTGAAAATGTACTAGTATGTGGAATGTCTCAAAAATGAATACATTTCTACCATCATATTAAATTTTAACACTTATAGGCTTTTTTAAACAACACATTTGCTATAAATTTATATTTGACATTTTTAAATGAAAAAATGAAATATAATACAAAACGGTTCCGTGGTAAAGGGATTATTATGTTCTGTTGGTTTTTTTGCTTTTTATATATTATCAGAATTGTCTTTAAGACTAAACATTTATAAATATGGGACTATTGTTTATCAATTTAGAGTCGCATTTTCACACGGGGTTAAGTTATCTATGAGTACTCATGCACTAAGACTAGTTTGTAAGTATTGAACGCAAAGCAATGACAGCGTACATTGACAGATACTAGCTATACTCGTACTTTACTTTTTTGTGATTCTTCTGGTTTTTTTTATTATCTTTTGAAGAAAATGATTGTGACATTGGACATTTTTATATCACTGCAAATAAAAAGCATTAGAGATTAGTGTTATTTATTTATTTATTTATTTATTTATTTATTTTATTTTTTATCTAGTATATATTCAGATTTTAAGAATATATATTCATCAACTTAAATCGGTATTTCATGAAGTATTACTTATTTAAGATGTATTGCTACATTCAAGTGTCTGCCAATTTTTTACTCAGAGCGATAACACATTTAAAGGCACAATATGCCTCAGAAATTAATTCTTTTTTTTTCCTTCATAGAAAAGGCAAACATAAATGTCATAACATTAAAATCATAGTTTAGAGCTAGCTAGATGCTTATCACATTTCAAAAATTAGCGCTAAATATGAAATTATTTGTCATAAATATAGTAAAGTGTAAACAAAGAAGTATTTTGACTTCCATACAAAATATCAAATCACTATACTGTAGTAATTACCAAAAAGGTAACAGAAGCAAAAGATGGTTCAGGTAATTGGCTAATGAGTAACTTATTGAGGACATCAAAAATAATAAGCTTTCGAGAAATAAAAATAAAAGTATTACTTGGGCATAATGGGCCTGTAAGGACGAATCAGTCTCGTACATATGGTGTCTACAAGTACATTATATAACGTGGCAATCCTGTTTACAATATAGGTCATAAATTGCGCAAGTTATGATGATAACGTGCTCATTCTTTGTGCTATAGTCGTATATAGAAATCAGATAATTCCTTATCATATTTAAATTTGATGTTACACGAAGGATTTGGTTTAAAGAACCAATTATGCATCAAGTTTTAATTCTAATATGTTTAGCTGTGTCTGGAATGGCGACAGCTGAGTCAGGTAAGTAATGTCTGAAGAAATGATTTTGAATTTATCAATTATATAATTTGTTTAAGAATAAGCATTTTTATCGTGTTTCCTTTCACTTGTGCTCGCAACCATATGCTCAAGGCGGTATAATTATTTTGATTGACCAACATTCTTCCTTTAAAACTTTGTATCTTCTTCGCCAATTTAATTAGACCTTTTAATAACGATTGTTATTCAATTCACATGAAACAAATTTTGCATTAGTAACATAACATTACTATGTAATCATACCCAGGTCGGATGAACACAGATTGAATCTTTGGAGAATAAAATACAAACTTGAGCGAGTACACGGCTATTTTGTCTATATTTGACAATAACACGCTTCACATATACAAGTCATATTCATTGCTTTATATGTTATACCTGACATAACTCAGCTTAAGGGATTGTATAATGCAAGCATGTTTCGAAATAATTAATCAAGGAGTTCAAATGTGTCTTCACTTTCTCTTATTAGAAACAGAGTCCGCTATTCTAAAAAGGCTGGAAGCAACAGAAAGGCTCGTTCAAAGTCTCTTTGATGAAGTGGAAAGCTTGAAAGTGCAGGACCAAATCCATAAAGAGCAAATTGTCGGCTTGAAGAAACAGTTACACTGGCAGCGACAACGTAACAGTTACCTTGGAAAACTTAACAGGCTAAGAACCGGTAAACTAAAGACGGGTCAAGTGGAAGATACTGTGCCAGTTAGCAATAAAAATCCGGATCATGTTGAAACCAAACATGGTAAGAGCATTTCTTGTTTTATTGATGACATTATAAGATTCCTGAGATTTTGAAAATGAAGTTTATTTATGCCATTGATAATTATTCTATTGCATGAAATTTTGAATTGTTGCAAGCATTTTCTAATATCCCTGTTAACATCAGTTTTTCAACTCAGGTTTTAGGAACAATGTTTACATTTTTTAACAATCGTTTGAAGTATAAAAAATTGAATTGATTTAATTTACAGATGCACAAGTAAACAGAATAAGGAGAGCCGAAAATGAAATTCACGTGGCTTTTTTCGCAAAAATGGACAAACATCTGGTACATGCTGGAATCCACCAGAATATCGTCTTCGATACTGTTGTCACTAATGTAGGAAATGGTTATCACAGTCATGTAGGAACATTCATAGCTCCGGTGTCTGGAACATACGTATTCTCTGCAACTCTTGTTTCATTCTACCATGTAAATGCACATGCAGAGTTTGTAAAAAACGGCCAGGTCCTCACAACAATGTTTGTTAATGGTGCTGAAGCTGGTTATGATACAACAAGCCAAACAATAGTTCTTCAGCTGCAAAAAGGGGATGACGTAGTTGTTCAAAATAAAGACGCTGACAAGTCGTTCTATGGCACAGGTCAAGGTACTTTCTCTGGGTTTCTTTTGTTTGAAGATTTCTCAAGTCCAAGTATCGTTGGAAAATGAAATGAAATATAAGGATACAAGAAAAAATAAATAGTTCTGAGTTCAGTTTTATAATTTGTTTTCTTTAAGTTTTTTTTTCAAATTTATTATAATATCGCATTGATGCTGTTATAGACATAGTTGATGGCTGTTTTAAGTGATTCCCTCGAAAAAAAATGTTATTTTAAAGTAAAGAGTTTTGAGTTGAGCAAAAAGATTTGATTAAACTTAAAGGCTCATAAATCTTTCGAAATACTGTCTTTTGCATTTTTTCATTTTGTCTGTTTTATTTATCTAGTTATAGCTCCCAAAGAGTACTTATTGAACAAACTATCTTCTGTTCCTTTACTTTTTGGCAGTTTGTGTAATTATAGTAATTCAGTATTTTTGTATGGAAGTCGAAATACTACTTCATTCATATTTGCAACCTTTACGACAGTTCAGTGCTACTCGCTTCAGTTAAAGATTTTTTTAAAAATATTGTTTTCTGAGGCATAATCAGTTTTTAAACATTCCAATAGTGCTTGATATATATGGTAACAGTATGTTAAAGAATTATATATTAAAATATTAGTGTACCATACCTTTAGAAATAAAAAAAATGCATGTTAACCGTTGTCTACAATATACAAGTATTTATTGCTTAATCGGCATTTTTAGGCATAAAAGTCTACCGAAGAATAACAATCGTTACGGCTAAAAAAATAAATCATCAACAAATTCGAACATTTGATGTTAAGAGGTAACGGATAGTACACAACCATAACACGATTTAGAATTGAAACTACAACGACCTTTTTCAGTGAATTTTCATAGTTTTACTTGTAAAAGATGATAATTTTACACCAGATTATTTTCTTTCAGTATTTCAAATTTCGATAAAAGAAAATAGAAATGTATCATTTGCATATTTCTTGAAATACAAAATGACTAAGTTTTAAGGAATTTAATATGAACATTTATATGTCAATATATAACACATAATTATGTTATGGAGCTAAACATATAGGTACATTAGATAGGCAATGAAGACAATTTCAGCGCCCACAATATGTTCAAAATCATGTGATCCTCATTGAATTCCAGTCTTATCTATAAACTACCAAAATATTTATCAAAACGAAATATTTGATAATACATAGGTCATGGAAACAAAGTCGGCGTTTCCAAATCAGTTTAATAAATTATTTTGTGGGTCAATCTTTGTCACAAATATAGGTCATTAACTCCGTATTAGAATTATGACGTATTCGCTATCGTGCCTGAAAAATCGTATATAAATAGAACCTCATTCCGAATCACTTTTAACCCTGCTGATGATAAAAGTAGGTGTTCCTCCAGAGTTTCAATGATGTATCAATTTTTGCGACTGTGTCTGGAATGGCATTAGATGATTCTGGTAAGTAATGTTTGAGGAAATACTTTTTTTTTTTTTATCTACAAAGTTATCTACATTTGGAAATAGATGTTTTATAAATAAGTTGTTATTTTTACTAAGGCTTGTCACCTTATTCTTAGGCCAGATATTTTTCTGGTTGATTAATACTTCATTCTAATATCAGTAAAAAATGGTATACATCATTTTTTAAAATCAAATAAAATTATATTCTTCATTTTAATATCAATAGAAATAGTATACTTCATTCTTATATCAATAAAATGGTAAAATTCATTTTTATACATCAATCAACAAAAGTGATATGCTTCATTTTACATCATTTAAAATGGTATATTCCATTTTTATATCAATAAAAATGGTATACTTTATTCTTTATATAAATAAAAATGGTATACTTCATTTTCATGTGTACCTTAAATCCAGTTTGTTAAAATTATTTAACATTATGTATTAATGGCATGCCACCAATGTACCACATTATTCTCAAACTAAATGTATAACATTATGTATAAATATAAAGACCCTTGCAGACTTATTTATGTTAACGGGGTATTCGAGTTATAACAAATTGACTTTCAATGTATGACTTGGCGGCAACATTTCGAAATAGCCCATATTATTTGTTCCATCGTGATTTGATATTTCAAAGTTGACTGATGCTTAAGCTAGCTATATTTTCTGTTGCAGCTCGCTTGATTCTTTAAAATGAAATTTTAAGGTTCGATTGAACGAATGCTTACAACATGCACTTTTCTCTGTATTTAAAATTTGCAAAAGGTTTAACACTTGTCGAGTTTATTATACGACACAACAACACTTTACTTAACTATTGAACAATAAACGTCGCAAGAAATACCAAATGAAGAAAACAATACGCATTAGATCTGAGCGGAATAACAATATTCCTGATTCGAAATTTCATTAAACAATGGACCAATGTAAGGTTGACCTTTCATTTAACTAAATGAACGCCGGTACATCATTGTTGCAATTTGCTTTCTGTACTCTCATTTATTTCATACATTCACAATGTATGTCTCACGTTCTGGCACTTTATTAAATCCATATATATTTGATTCGTAAGATATATTGTGATTATTTATAAATATTTCTGTACTATCAGTATGAATTGAGCTTTATAAATACAAGCTATATAGATACAAATGTTTGTCTGGGTATAAATTAAGATATTTGTTTCTAATCGGTTAAGGCAAAAATCAATATGCGCTGTAAATTTATTATTAAAATCTGGAAACAAAGTGATCCCTCGGAAGCATTATCACAACAAAATTACATAAGAATTGCAGACTCGGTTTGATTGAGTCTGTACATGAGGGATTATGAATAAGTGCAACATCCCTCACGCCCCCTAGCACCGGCTTGAGCGGTACTCAATTCTCAACACTTAATAGTGCTGGCATCAATGATCCCGAAGGACCAGAAAAATATAACAACACTGAAGTGAAGTACGGGGCAACTTTTTACAGCTGCCACAGAGCACTTGACACCTGCTGTTGTGAAGTATAAAAATCTGGAAACAAAGTGATCCCTCGGAAGCATTATCACAACAAAATTACATAAGAATTGCAGACTCGGTTTGATTGAGTCTGTACATGAGGGATTATGAATAAGTGCAACATCCCTCAAAGTCGCATTTCACAGTTAATCAATGTATGCGCTTAAATTATTATCAAAGAATCAAGAAATTAACGAATAACATATACATTAGAAGTATTCAAGTACTTAGAAACTATTTTTGTCCGTTTTAGAGACAAAGATTCTAATAAAGGGAAACATTGTTATCATTAAAACATAAAACCTGACCAGGATAAGAATTTTCCTGATTTGAAATATAAACAACAAATTGGTGGATCTCAATGAACTAAATAAAGAAAGGAAAAAACAAATTGTCCAGCAATGCTTCACTCTCTTTAACCTTAATTAGTTCCTACATTCATGACAAGAATCTCCAATCTTATTATTTTTGTCATCGCATTTGGTATTTTCAGGATACTACGATGCGACTATAATTATCTTCAAAATTAAGCTTAGAGTCATTTAATTAATTAGGATAAATTTGAACGCCACACTGCTTAACTTATAACAATATGCATGTATATTCATAAGTCGAAGACCCGATGTGTCGAAGTTTCTACGCAAGTATCTAACTTCGACATAATGAAGTTTTCCTTTCTATAAGACAATAGAGGGAATATCGCTAAAATCGCCGATCCTCCAAGCATGTAACTAATTTCTAATTGAGTCGGATTCATATTTGTAATAGTTTATTGACAAATACATATTCATATCAATGTCAGATGCAAACTGCACATAAGATAAAACTGAAATTTTATATATTAATATGTAGCTTATCATTATTGCTGTTATATTCCAAATAAATAAGTCAAAGAATGATTGATTATATTGAGGATTGGCAGAAAAAATGAATTTATTAAAATATAATCATCATTTTATTTGTGTTTATTTTTCTTTCTACAAATCTGCAAATTTAGATTTGATTATACAGTATTTAATAATTTATTTTATACATTTATCACTCTGAAAATTTTATAGATGGACGCTAAATCAAAGTGGTTTAATTTTAATAAAGACACCTGATCTGGAACTAAATATTATTTAATTATCTCTTGAGATATAGCTACAGTTAAGTATTCATATGATATTGGTTCAAACTTTTTTAATAACAGTGCGATTTAGATAATGGAGGTGCATTAAAATTGTTTAAAACCATTTGATCTCAAGTCCAGTATACCGAAAAGTATTCCACCGATACACTCAATGGAAGTGAACATAGAATACATGGAATATTCAAAAATGCCTTGTCTAAAATGTGTTTTGTATCATGCCAGATTGAAGAACCTGTTTCATGTAAATGACACATTCACAATTTTTTTTATATAAAACATTCTATCATTATAAATATGTCATCATTTTTCTGCAATGTTTATGTTTATAGTATATAATCCAAATTTAAACAACATAAGTTTGTATAGTATAAATATTATGTATAATTCTTACTGCTTAAGTGTTGTAAACATATGACAGGTGTAGCTTTGAAAGATTTGACATGGTCTATTAACCTCGTTGAATACTCATGATGATGTATTTGATGCACGGACTGCATTCTTCTACCAACGAAAGAAGCACACACAAAAGTAAATACTAGTCAGTAAAATATATTTTATCATACCAGAATTTAAGTTTTACTATTATCATTATTATCATTATTATTATTATTATTATTATTATTATTATTATCATTATTATTATTATTACTATCATCATTATTATTATTATTATTATTATTATTATTATTATTGTGTTTAAATCAGAATCCATAAAGGAACCCCTTAAAAGCAAAATTGATAATGTTGCAGGCTCGGTTTGATTGAGCCTGTTCATCGACGGAACTGGAAAGTGCAAGTTACCGTCACCGCCCGCTAGCACCGGTTTAAACAGAATTCAACATTTAAACACGAAAATTGTGACTAAACATTTATAAAGATGTCTATTGGTTATCAATTAAGAGTCTCAATGCCACGCGGGGTTAAGTTTACTATGAGTACTGATTCACTAAGTATAGTATGTAATTAAATACTATAGTAAATTGCAACAACAAAACAGCGTACATTTAAAGGTACTTAACAGTATTTGTCATCTATATATAATTTACGTTTTTGTCATTCTTTGATTTCTTTGGTAACCTTTTGAAGAAAATGATTGTGAAATTGAAGATTTTTAAATCATAGTTTGCAAAACGTTATTACAAATGAAAAATCTTTCTTTGATCTAACGAGTGAATAATCATATGTTTTGAAAAAAAATTATCACCTTAATCCGGTATTTCATCAAGTATTACTTCTCAGAGATGTTTTTGTGACGAAACGACTCAGGACGAATTAGCCGAGGACACATGGTGCCTACAAGTACATTTTCCAACGTGTCAATCTTCAAAATAAGTCCTGTGTCCAATATAGGTCATAAATAGCGTAAATTATGATGATAACATCTATGGTCGTATTTAGAAAACAAATGAGTCCTTGTCATATTCAAATTTGATTTTAAACAAAGAGTTTGGTTTAAAGAATCAATGATGCATCAAGTTTTAATTCTAATATGTTTAACTGTGTCTGGAATGGCAACAGCTGAGTCTGGTAAGTCATTTGTGAAGACATGATTTTGAATTTATCAAATATATAATTTGTTTTAGAAAAAGCATTATTTCGTGTTTCCTTTTACTTGTGCTTGTTACCATATGCTAAAGTCGGTTATATTATTTTTGTTGACCAACATTCTTCCTTAAACAATTTAATAAGACCTTTTTATTACGTTTGTTATTCAATTGACAAATTTATATTAGTAAAATAACTATCGAATCATACCCAGGCCGGTTGAACACCGATTGAATCTTTGGGGACTTTACAAACTTGAGCGAGTTCACAGCTGTTTTGCCTATATTTGTCAATGAAACCCTTCACATATACACATATACATATCCATTGCTTTATATGTTATATTTGACATAACTCATACAAGCTTAAGGGATTGTATAATGCAAGCAGGTTTCGAAATAATTAATCAAGAAGTTCAAATGTGTCTTCACTATCTCTTATTAGAAACAGAGTCCGCTATTCTAAAAAGGCTGGAAGCAACAGAAAGGCTCGTTCAAAATCTCTTTGATGAAGTGGCAAGCTTGAAAGTGCAGGACCAAATCCATAAAGAGCAAATTGTCGGCTTGAAGAAACAGTTACACTGGCAGGGACAACGTTGGAAAACTTAACAGGCTAAGTACCAGTAAACTAAAGACGGGTCCCGTGGAAGACAGTCTATCAGTCAGCAATAGAAATCCGGATCATGTTGAAACCAAACATGGTAACAGCATTTCTTGTTTTATCCATGACATAATAGGATTCCTTTGATTTTGAAATGAACTTTCTTTATGCAATATATAATTATTCTATTACATGAAATTTTGAATTGTTGCTAGCATTTATAATATCCCTGATAACATAAGTTTTTCAACTTAGATTTTAGGAATATTGTATACATTTCTGAACAATCGTTGAAGTTTAAAGAAAAAATGAATTGATGTAATTTATAGATGCACATGTAAACAGAATACGAAGAGCCGAAAATGAAACTCCCGTGGCTTTTTTCGCAAAAATGGACAAACATCTGGAACATGCTGGTATCCATCAGAATTTCATCTTTGAAACGGTTGTCACTTATGTAGGAAATGGTTACCACAGTCATGTAGGGACATTCATAGCTCCGATGTCAGGAACATACGTATTCTCCGCAACCCTTGTTTCATTCTATCATGTAAGTGCACATGCACAATTTGTAAAGAACGGCCAAGCTGTCACAACAATGTATGTTAGCGGTGCTGAAGCCGGTTATGATACAACAAGCCAAACAATAGTTCTTCAGCTGCAAAAGGGGGATGACGTGACGGTCCAAAATTCAGACACCGACAAGTCTTTCTATGGCGGGAGCCATAGTACCTTCTCTGGGTTTCTTCTGTTTGAGGATTTCTCAAGTCCAAGTGTCGTTGGAAAATGAAATGAAATGTAAAGATACAAGAAAGAATAAATAATTCTGAGATCAGTTTTATCATTTGTTTTCTTTAAGTTTTTCATGCAATATTATTACAAAATTATAATAATATCGCATTGATGTTGTTATAGACATAGTTGATAGCTGTTAAAAGTGATTTCCTCGAAAACAGAAGTTATTTTAAAGTAAAAGTGTTTTGAGTTGAGCAAAAAGATTTGATTAAACTTTAAGGCTCATAAAGCCTTAGAAATACTATCATTTATCATTTTTTCTTTTTTTTTCTGCAACCTTTACGGCACATAACTAAATGTTCAGTGCTACTCTCTTCAGTTGTTCAACCTCAAAAATGCTCTAAATCCATTATTATTAAGACATTATTGAACAAATTTAACATCTAAAGAATTAAAAAATATTGTTTTCTGAGGCATAATCAGTCTTTTAACATACCAATAGTGCTTGATATATATGGTAACAGTATGTAAAAGAATAATATATCAAAATATATGCGTATCATACCTTTTGAAATAAAAAATGAAAATGCATTTTAACCGTTGTCTACAGTTTACAAGTAATTATTGCTTAATCGGCAGTTTTAGGGATAAAAGTCTACCGCAGAAAAACCATCGTTACAGCTGAAATAATAAATAATCGACAAACTCAAACATGTGATGTTAAAAAGTAATTGGCCAGTAAACAACTATGATACGGTTTACAATAAAAACTACAGCGACCTTTTAAAGTGAAACTTCATACTTTTACTTGTAAAAGATGAATAATTTTATACCAGATTATTTTCTTAAAGTATTTCGAATTTTGGTTAAAAAAATAGAAATGTATCATTTGAATATAATTATACAATTTTTTTAAATAAAAAAATGATAATGTTTTAAGTGATTTAACATTGGTATGTCGGTATATAACACATATGTTATGGAGTAAAACATATAGGTACATTAGATGGGCAATGAAGACAATTTCAGTGTCAACAATATGTTCAAAATCATTTGATCTCAATTGACTTCCAGTCTTATCTATACATTTAATATACTTATGAAAATATATAGGTATGAGGAATAAAGTCGACATTATCAAAATTTGTTTAGCATCAATTAAATAAACTCTTGTATGTGCTAATCTTTGTCAAAAATATAGGTCATTAACTCCGTAAAAGAATTATGACGTATTCGTTATCGTGCCTACAAAATCGTATACAAAAAGAACCTCGTTCCGTATCACTTTTAACCCTGATGTTAAAAGTAGGTGTTTGGTCCAGAGTTTCAATGATGTATCAAGTTCTAATTTTGATTTGTGCGACTATGTCTGGAATGGCATTAGCTGATTCTGGTAAGTAATGTTTGAGGAAATTATTTCTTGATCTTAGATACAAACTAAACTGATCTTTTTGCAGAAATAGTTATATTATAAGTTGTAATTTTTACTTAAGCGTTGATTATGTTTCTTGTGATTTTTCTGGCGTTACCTGTGCCATAAATGTTTCAAAGCTGGATAATGCCTAGATACATTTCATATAAGTCTGTCATGTTAACTCATTTAAATTAAAGTATTATGTGACGTCAGAGGGTATCATTTCTTAATGTAAAATGGTAACATCGTATTTTGGTCCGCTGAAAGTCCAAAACGTTACACACGCATTAGCCTGAGTTCAGGTGTGTCAATTTTTTTATGTTCGGCAAATCGACACTATCAAAAACACGAACGAACACGAAATAACGCACATATGAATACGGAAAAACAATCAACGCCTGAATCCCGGGCTACTCACGCATATACCTATTTATCCTATTCATATCGGTTATCTTCCTTGCTTAGATGTTTTAACATTTCCAAAACTTTCATCAAAACATAACAACATCGAAACATTGTTTCCTTTTTTAGAAGCAGAGTCCGCCATTCTGAAAAGACTGGAAGCAACTGAAAAGCTCGTTCATGATCTTTTCGATGAAGTTGCAAGCCTTAAAGCTCAGGACCTAATCCATAGGGAGCAGATTGTCGAGTTAAAGAAACAGTTACACTCGCAGCGACAACATAACAACTTTGGAAAACATAACAGCTTAACAACCAGTAAACTAGAGACGGGGTCTTTGGAAGATGTAAATTCAGTAATCAAGAGACAGCCGAGTGACGTGAACATCAAGCAAGGTCATACATCAATGAAATAATTTTATACATTTTTAACGAAATTTTGCCTCATAAGTATATTAAAGTAGCTCCAATAAGGTTGACAACAATTTAAATGTCTAACATTGATCAAATATGACACTTAAAACGTAATATTTTACAAAAAGATAAGAAAAATGATATAACCAGAATCAAATTCAAAATAGATTTTTTGTATGATTCTTAGCCCGATTATATCATATTAAAAAGGTTCATTTTGCCGTCATTTTGAGCAATAATATGATATTTCTGGAAGAAATGAAGTGAGCAAGTAAGCATAAATTTTGTGCACACAATTTATTGTTCAAGATAATGAAAAAATGAAAAATATGAAAAAGAAATCTCGAACAAAAATATCATGTCACGTCATGTCCGAATTTTCGAATAATGTATTTATCAAACAGCATATGGTTTCTTCGGTGTTCATTAACCATATGCTGTAAAATGGTGTTTTGTTTTTGTGTTTTGTTGGGGTTTTTTTTGTTCTTGTGGTTGGTGATTTTCTTTTGCTGTTGGTTTTTTTATCTATTTTTTAATTGTTATCTTTTTCTTCTTTGGGGATGTTTTTGTTGTTTGTTATTTGTGTATTTTCGTCTGTTTTGCTTTTTACTTGTTGTTGTTGCTGTTGTTGTAGCTGTTGGTTTTGTTTTGTGTATAAAAATATCTTTGTTGATTTTATTTTAAGATGCAAACAAAATCAGAATAAGGAGATTTGGAAATGGAACTCCCGTGGCCTTTTTCGCGAAAATGGACGAAAACCTAGAACATGCTGGGGTCCACCAGAATTTCATCTTCGAAGTTGTAGCCATCAATATAGGAAATGGCTACAACAATAAATCAGGAGCATTTGTTGCCCCGGTTTCAGGAATATACGTGTTTTCTGCAACCCTTGTATCATTCTCTAATGTTAACGCACAGGTGCGTTTTATGTGGAATGGTCAGCCCATGACGGTGATGATTGTCAGCGGCGCAGGATCGGGTCAGGATACGATTAGCCAAACCATTGTTCTTCCCGTGCGGAAAGGGGATGTCTTCACAATCCAAAATATTGATTCAGATAAATCCTTCATCGGTGGAGCTCGGAGTATGTTCTCTGGATTTCTTCTGTTCGAAGATTCTTCAAGTCCTAGTGTTGTTGGAAAATAAAATGTAAATTGAAAAGATAAATGAAAACAAAATGATAGATCAGTTAGAAGTTGTGTTATTGTTTGTTTCTGAAAACAAAACGTGCCTTTTCTGATACTGTGTTGGTGTGACGTAAAACCCAACTTAGAAAAGCACTAAGAAAATAAGGAATAAGATTTGAAATAAAATGAAATTGAAATTCACGGCTATACTGTAATCTTAACAAAATCAATTTCTTCTGAAAGATTTGCCTGGCGCACTGTCAAATGACCAACTGAACGGATAAGTGAGTGAGTGAGTGAGTGATTGAGTGATTGAGTGAGTTGGTGAGTGAGTGAGTGAGTGAGTGAGTGAGTGAGTGAGTGAGTGAGTGAGTGAGCGAGCGAGCGAGCGAGCGAGCGAGCGAGCGAGCGAGCGAATTTCTTATAATACAATTCTATACGTGATATATGATATATAATAAGTCCACCATCATCAAGAGTATTTGCATTTTCAATAATAATTGAGGCGTTTTTTATTCACAGTAACAGCTGTTAAAATTTATATTTCAATAACTGGTTTCATTTGACAAGTTATTATATGTGGGTTGTTTATATAAATATCTGAAAACAGCCTCTACAATACTAAGTAACAATACATGTATTTGTAAAATTATATCTTGACGTTTAGCGCAACCTCTCAATATAATTGTCGTCAGCTGAATGAATTTCAGGACTGCCTGGCAACGGATCAGCATTATGATTGGGCGATGTCTAACACGCTGGTCTAAATTATCCCAAAATGTGTTCAATTGGTTTTTAGATCAGGGCTTTTGGCAGGCCAGTCTTTGATAAATTTAATGTTATTCGACCTGAGGAAACTCGCAGTGTCCCTAACCGTATGGCTTGTGGCATTATCATGATGTTGGCCTATTTTGAAACAGTGTGATAACATGCCTCGCGAGAATTTCATCTCGGTAGCGTTGGGCATTCAAATTCACTTCGATAACGACAAGATTAGTGCGAAAGCTACGTGCAATGCCTGCCCAGACCAAAACAAAACCCCCACACCAAAACGATCTCGTTCATGTACGCAGCAGTAAGCAAAACATTCATTTCTCCTACGGTATACCCGAACCCTGTCATCAGCTCGATGAATGGAAAACCTCGACTTGTCTGAGTTAAGAACGCTATTCAATTGTTGTCTAAGCCAGTGTTGGTTTGTACGTGCCAAATTAACACGGTTTACACGGTGATGTCGCCTCAAAACACAACAAACGTATGGTTCGCGTCCACGTTACCCGTCCTCGCGCTATGGATTGCGCGCACTTTGTGCAGATATACGATTATTGTGGGTACCAGGGATGTAAGCAGCAGAAGCTGTGGCAGTTTGGAAGCGATTGCACAGGTGGGTGTTCCGAATATAGCGGCCTTGGCGTCTAGTACACGGTCGATCTTCTGTAAGCCCTAATGCTTGAAAACGTTGCCTAAGGTGTCGTTTAGCAGGTGTAATAATATTTGTCATATGTTGCAGTTCAGATCGGAATATCCCTCCCGAGGGACCCCCCCTCCCCCCTCCATTTGGCTGTAACGAGGCTTGCCGAGTTACCGCCCATTGGCGCGTTCCCGAGGGACGGACATTCCAAACCAAACCGCAAGCATATGTCAGATATTTTTTCTTGCATATTCTGCCATACTATTTCATATTTAAAATCGTTTACCCCACTTGGAAATTAAACACAATAATAAAATACAATAGCGTATGAATTTACAACTTTAATAACAACGGCGAAATGACGTCATCCTAAGAACATAGTTCCCTTCTAAAATAACGTCATGTTAACGCGGTTCATTCATAAAATGACGTTGTTGTATGACACGCGACTCATCTGACACCCCCATGCCAGATGAGATTTTCTGCATGGGTAAAACTCACGGAAATACCAGTCTGCTATGCAAGAATCTACTGGTACGTGCATACACGTGAAAATTGTGTTCAGCGAGTTTTTCCACTTGTTTTGTCGGAGACATAATCGTTCGCCCGAATATATGTAGCCCATTTGACATTCTGATTGTTTTCAAATAGTACTATATCTCCGCTTAAACACGTTTTTTGTTCAGTTCAGTTTATATTTGACAACAGAATTGAGAAAGATACATTTTTTCAGTAATAACTCATTCACATATGCATCTGGAAATAAGTTGAATTTTAATTCAATAAAAAAAGAAATAAAAAAATATAAGATGAATTATTTTCACTCACGCGTTTTCATTGATTTTTCTTGTCTTAATTATAATCATCTAATTTATATATTCAGGAGCAGAAGATTCGTGACTGTGAAAAATTCAATTATACATTAAATTTAATTTATAATTATTATTTTTAGATTTCATTGTCAAATAAAGTTCATTTAAAATGCTCGATTTTTATTTTATGTTTTTTTTTTTGTTTGTTTCTCACATTGCACACACTAACAAATACCTCGATACTAATAGAATGCTCTTATTGATACATACATTTTTTATTTCAGCAACTTTGGAAAACAAATCAAGTTTTTAATCTAAGTTCATTTTTTATTGATTTTTTTTTTTTTTTTTTTTTTTTTTAGTTAACGAACGTGAAAGTAGCTTTTCATTCATGGCAATACATCGTAAAATATTGACACCGTCTAATTTAGTTCTTTTACTCTAGAATTAGAATTATAAATGCACCAAGACCGACAGTACGCTACAAGCAATGGCGTCTGATAATTATCAACACCATATTGATATAGAATGAGATGTCAAAGATTCCTTGACACCAGAAGAGGCTATACTGTATAGTGTCAACTGATATCAACTTAACATTCAACACTACATGTCACCTTCTTTCATTAAAATGAAAACAAATATCTGTTCATGAATTATTTTCTTTGGATATGTGAGAATTGATTTTCTTATGTCCGTCCGTCCATTCGAGCTATCATCTGGATACTTTTAAATGTGGCTTTAGGAACAATAGGTAACTGTACTTTCTCTTTGATGTCATTCATTATGTAAGGCTTTTATGTGGCTATTTTCCTTTATGTGATTAAAATGAACAAACGAGAGAACAAAGGAAAAGCAACAAAAGTATCGTCCCGTTAGAAATTCCATTCATACATCCTCACATCGTACAATCAAATGGGAAGCAACTGTTCAACGAGACAGCCGTACTAGTATATACTCGTACATGTCAGTATAAAACAATAATGGTGGTGGTGGTGATAGTTTTCACTCCAGATCACGGCAGTAAGCCACATTGAATTCACCAGAGCACAGTTCAGCCCACGCATCGTTCCTGGACAGGCTGTCAAGCAGTTTACTAGTACTAGTTGCCTTCACCTTCGCAAGGAACTGAAACTTCTGTTCATATCAGAGCAGAGGTACAGTGCGAATGACCGTAGAAAAGATTTCATGATCAATCGCAATGAATGTCACCTGCGTCGTCCGGGAATCGAACCCGGGTCGCTCGATTCACAGTCCAACGCTCTACCTATTGAGCTAACCGGACGGTTACATCTCTGGCCCTGTGCAAACATTACACTTTACGTGAATTTTTATTGAAAATTAGCACACTTTATACGACATGTAGCTTTTTTAGAAGTCACACAAACTTATATTTTCTCATGATAATAAATCATTCGTAAACGTCAACATTTTGTCATAAAATATTCCAAACCTTCCCTCAAATATGTTTTTTTAAAGATATAGGGTACTTAAGTTTGAATGTCTTCAAAATGTGAGTAACGTCATCAACCGTTTGCCTTTATTTAATGATAACATCGACATCTACTCATCAGCTAGAATGAATAAGGCTGAAAACCGTTAAACGAAAAAAATACGGCTTTTGTGCTAAAGTAACTAGGAAAGAGTAGAACTTTTTTTGCACAGTTGGTTATGTTAAAAATAGATTAATTCTTACCGTCCGTCAATTATTTCGTTATACCGAAAACTGAATACGGCTGTCATCGCGTTGAACGATTGTCTTCGAATTTAATTGTACGGTGTGGTCCTGCCATCCAGTCATCAATACATCACTCTTCGGGCATTATCTGTCTTTTTACAATTTAGAATAAATGCTGTTCACCTTTTAGAGATTATCAACCTTATAACTCTCCGTTTCAGTAATCAGTTACTGAGCTAATTAAATATACAGACGCATGCTTATTAATTTACTATGATGAATAATAATATGCAAAATTACATTTTAATTATAGTTGCTCTGTCATATGAATATAATGGAAACAACTATGATTCAATTCAATCTTCAAACTAAAAGTGACTCCACTGCGGTTTATTATTACTTTTTTTTTGTATGTGCAAATTTTCAGATCATTTTCTCATTTGGTTTTTCCATAATAAGTAGTCTTATTGTGAAAAATGACCAAAATTGAAAAGAGTTGCAACGCTTTTCACTCAAATAAAGTTAGAGATAGGACTCAAATACTGTTTTTACTTATTTTAAGCATATTTTGCAATTATCTTTTGCATATCTTTTTGATTTAAGGTGCCCCAGGTCATCTTTATAAGAAAATCAAACTTTATATTTTCAGACTTTCGTACCATTAGTGGAGTTCTTTTTTATATAGTTGCAACATTCTTTTTACTTTTTTCAATTAATGGGTAATTATGAAGGATAAGTTTCCGCCACCAAAATGGTTCTCAGCTGAAATGAACCTATATCAATTAACCTGAATATCACAAGGATAATAAAAAGTACATTTAAAAAAGCATAACACCCCAATCTATACAAATAAAATCGTTTCTAAAAGCATGTGTCTGCAGCTGGTATAATAATTATCAAATCGGTACAATTATTGAATGTGGTATTTAGTACATGTTGAAATTTTTATTCTATAAAAGAATATTAAATCTTGTGCATTTCGGAAACGCGTTAAACTAACTCATTTTTATACATGTATATTCAAATGTTAGTATTAGTTAAAACTATTTGAATGTTGTTCTATTCTTCTTATAATAAGGAGTATTCGATCTATTCTATCGCCAAAATGCACAAAAATTCATTCTTATCATGAATTCAAAATATCTAAACGCTTTCACAAAAACATATGATAACATTATCTTAACTTAACCACAGCGCACGATGTCAAAAATAGGCGAGGACACAGATATTTTTCTGTAAAATTATCGTGTCGGCGGGTAGAAATCTTCGTATCGCCGCCTTATATTCGGTGTTAAGGTTATGACTAGAATACCAGAATGCCTGGATAAGTTTAATTCGTAAAATGACAAGGATGGTTGCTAAATACATTGATGAGTAACGTACGTTGGTCTCCCTCCTATACAATTTAGCTGCTCAGTTGATATAATAATGACCCTAACTGTGTCAGTGTAACCAAACTAAATAAAGTTATTCGTCTTGTAGCGAATTTCAATTTTTTCATAATAGTATGTGTATGCATTTTATCAATACACATTAGTTTTCAAAGAAAACAAGATAAGTATAAAAACACAAAGAAAAATGAGAACACTGTAAATGACGATTAAATGTCATCAAAATTAGCATGTTGATATTTCATATGATAACCGATTTTATCTAACAATTAGAGTGCATCTGAACTATTTTATATCATAATTTGGAGACTTTTCTATTGCAAATGTGTCATAGTTAAATCGTATACCAATGCATGCACAGCGCATTTGACAGTGAACTAATAACATTACATGTTAATATATACATTAGAATTAAATAACTTTGACTTGTAAATATCTGTAGTTTATGTCACTTAATATATAACCGAAGTTTGACGGAAATGACCGAAAAGTTGCGATTGTGTCAGTGAAATTTAAGATTTAGTATCACGTGTTAGATTTATACTTATACCCCTAATGTCATCACAAGATAAAATTCGGAACAGACTTGAATTCACATTGTGTATTTACATACATGAGTCGGTAGTAAGATAAAATATTCGTGTATTGACCGGACAATTTATACAAAATGAGGTACTTAAAATTATGTTAAGTTGACGTTCTTTCATTTTTTCTCTATCTTAAAACATTTCATTCGCTCTGCATAATTTGCGTTAGGAAGATTTCTTGAGATTATTCAATTTTATGTCCGTCATTTCAGCAATTTCGTTTCAGGATATTGAATTGTAGCTGGTCTTTGTCAAATGTTGAAACCTACAGATTGAAAATGAGTTTTTCATCCCTTAAATCTCATAGTGACATCGTCGAAATTTTCAAAAACTTATTTCAATATTGGTTATTTTATCTGATACTAATAAGATGTTTAGTTTAACACAACTATGTACATTTTTATACAGTTTGGAGAATTTAATTCTGAAATATTTTACTTGTAAATATTTTTGTATATTGATATCGTAATAAGCCTTCAAGTAATTAAGCATGTACTAATTTCAGTCAATTGTGGAACCCAGCAAAATCTCAACTTGATGGCCTTCCTGAAGATATGGCCTCAAAACTTTCTATGGACACCAAGGCGACATCGACACGATTCGTACACCCTGGCACCGAGCCGCTTGTCCCGCCAATCACACATTCGAGCACCTACCTCATGAGTAGCGTAGACGACTACCTCAGAATTTTGAAAGAGTCTGGCTATATCTATGGTCGTCTTGGTAACCCGAATTCAGACGCCGCCGAGTGCGCGATCAATGCGCTTGAGGAAGGGGCCGGTACTTTGGTTTTTGGTTCCGGCATGGCTGCCATAAGCGCGGCTCTCATCTGCTTCTTAAAGGCTGGAGATCACGTGGTTTGTCAAAATCCTTGTTATAGTGCGACCTTTGATATGTTGGATAAAATCTTAGCCAAATATGGTGTAGAAACGTCTTGGGTGCCAGCCGGCTGTAACGTGGACGAATACAAGAACAAGATCAAACCGAACACAAAATTACTTTACGGAGAAACTCCATGCAATCCTATGCTGGCAATTCTTGACTTGCAAAAGTTTGGAGAACTTGGAACTTCTAAAGGAATTCTTACTATCGTCGATGGAACATTTGCTAGTCTGTTTTGTCAGCAAAGCATCAAGTTTGGAATTGATATTTCGATGCACAGCTGTACAAAGTATCTTGGAGGTCATAGCGATCTTACGGCAGGCTGTCTAACGTTCAAGAAATTAGAGCACTGGAAAATGATGAAGAGATACCAGAGCACACTGGGTATGCAATTATCTCCACACGACGCCAGTTTGCTGTTACGTGGTATCAAAACCATTCATGTGCGTATGCCACGTCATTCATCTAACGCGGCAAAAGTTGCGCAGTATCTTGAAAAACATCCAAAAGTGAAAGATGTTAGATTCCCGGGTCTCGAATCACATCCTCATCACGAATTAGCCAAGAAACAAATGAAAGGCTATAGCGGCATGATAGCTGTGGAAATAAAGGGCGGGATCGACGGTGGGAAGGCGTTTGTAGAGGTAATGCTAATATGCATATTTATTTGATACGTCATAAAATGTCATCAATGAGCACTTCCACCACGAGATATGTCGATATAAATCATTATTTGCCCCAGTCTAATATTATTAAGGTTCGTTTTCATTTATCGAGTCCAATATTACTATCAATTACATATTCTTTCCCATCTAGCGTCGTTTTCATTTTCCGAGTCCACAAAATCAATATCAAATCCTAGTGGAAAGTGCGTTTGTTTCTTTGCATGAGTGTTTAAGGTTGCTGACCTTGAGATGTTATGAAACTATTGTTTGATGTTGAAGTTACTTAACTAAGAATCAGGTATTATTTCAACAACTAGTTTAAATCTTAGTATGTTTACTATGTGAAGATTGTGTTGATATATATCTTTATACATTATATTGCTGTAATATGTTGCATCGCCCGCCGCTAATTGCATTGCACTATTACCGCTAAATGTCGCAACTACCGCGAAATGTCCTAACTACCGCCAAATGTCGCAAAATATTATGTCGTTAAATGTCGCAATGACAACGTTAAATGTCGCTAAATTTTCTCGTGCCGATTAATGTCCAAACAATACCGTTTAATGTCGCAAGATGTATATTCATGATACAATAAACATTGAGTAAATGTTTGTATATATTTAGTAACCTTGGGACATAAAGGAATGTCCCGGTCTATCTGCCAACTCTAGGTAAAAATGCTTTTTACAGAGGATTGTTATTCAAGAAATATTAGAACAATAGAAACTTATCATTCGGATATTCTTACAAAATATTTCTTGAACATAAGCTCTACATGATTTAATTAATATGACATTCATATCATGAATAACTGATATTTTGTTCTATCAACATCCACATATAATTGTTGCATGGTTACTTTGCATCAAATACCAATTCACTTGTATTGTCCTTTTTGTTTGCAAACCATTGATTAAAGTAGAGTCTGCAACTACGATACATGTTAGGTACATATGATTCCCATCTGTTGTTTATTGCTTAGCCTACTTTTGCAAATATATACACTAGACTAGTGTCCTGTATTTGTCCCTACCGCTGTGGGTTCGAATCCTGCCAGGGAATTAGGCTTCCAACTACCTTACGGAACGTCGGTGGTTCTACTCGGATTCCCTTCCGTGCACGGAGGGTTACATGAGGTCTTCCTCCACCAGTAAAGCTGGAAAGGTGCTATGTGACTTTACTGTGTTGTATGTCCTAATTAGAAGTTTGTAAAGCTAATTAGGAGGTATAAAATTATTGCTTGTCCTTTTTATAACAAACTTAATCAGAAGTTTCATAATTCAAATCAAGTATTTTATTATTTTGGCCTTTAAAGCTCCTCATTACTAAGAAAGTCCTAACCAAGACTTAGTTTCTTAACTCCTAATAATTTTCCATCTAATTAGGCTTTAGAACTCCTTATTTAGAGTTACAAAGTGACTATTACTAATTATGATTAAGCATTCCTAATTAGTTTGTAACAAGTTGTTATTAGGTGTTTTATCTCTCCTATACTTCTTATTCTAAGTGAAGAAGTCCTTATTAGGCTTTTTAAACTCCTAACCAGAAGTAATGAACTTGATGGCCTTGATTGGCTATTAATCTGGCTATTAAATCTTCTTATTAAGAGTTTGTTTTTTTTTTTTTTTGAAAGTTGCTCACCTTAATTGTTCTAAACATGTTATCATTATAATAGAGATTTTCGACCATGCGACCACATACATGCATCGAGGACATGTTAGAAGGAAAGTGACCGTGCGACCACATACACGCATCACAAGCTTCCCCTTCTCCAACGAAAAGGGGACAAAGAGTTGTCCGCCCTTTTATTAAAGGGCAGACTTTAAAAACATGCCATATCCTTATTGTTAAGGAGGCTATTTTCATAGATATGTTTTGAATGGCTTTATATACAACAATAGTAATGCAAAACAAGCGGGTATCAGTTTACATCCTTTTAAGTCCGCTTTGAAATTTTAAGAAGATAATATATAATTCCTTGGAAATTTTTGAGTTTGCAGTTAAATTTTTTTTTCGTTCAATGTATATAATTAAAAAGTTTTATTTTACAAAACATGAACGATTCAAAAACGTTTTATATGGGAGATAACTTTCGCAAACTATGTTAGCAAATGTTAACCTGGGGGGCATTTTTGCTTAAGTATGCATTTGATTTCTACATGTATATTCGACTTATCTTACTTGTCATAGAAAATAATGTGATGAGCTGTAAGAAAAAAAAGATTAAACTTGAGCAGCCGACAATTCTGACACTGGTAAAACTGCACATATTTGCAAGCCCAATCTATGAATGCTGATTTTGTAAAATGCACTTTTCTAAGGTACATTATACCTCAGAAACAAACAAGATTTTCTTCCCGTTACGATTTGTATAATGTTTAAATAATGGTTTTAGATCATGGAACATGCTAATCAACTAAAAAAAGAAGTGCTGAATATAAAAGTATCAGTCTTAAATGTGACACAATATAGACATAGAATTATTTTGTCTTCCATACAAAATACTAAATTCATATAACTGAATTAACTTTTAAAACACTAGAAGCAAAACATGGTTCCGGTAGTTGACCAACTTGTATCTTTTTGGAAACTAAAACAGGACACAACAAATTAGAAACAAAATACAATCTTTTTGACGCATAATGGGCATTTAAGCTTCCAATGTTTTAGGCTGTAAATATCAAGATAGAATTTCCAGTCAGTCAGCCATAAGTAGAAACTCTGTTCAGTCTGCAGGGATGTGCAGCCTTTCTTATACAATGTACTGGTAAATTTATTTCGGTTCATACAGTATGATGTTTGCATATCTACTAGAGATCTAAGCTCATTAAAAGTTTAAAATTTTGCTGTACAGTTTTCAGTATGCCTTTATGGCTATGTAACTTGGGCATTCATTTGCTATATTATCTCAAGATTGAAAAAAATCAAATCGAAGAAACAATTTTTAATGACACAAGGTCAAGGTTATTTGAATCAAACGTGTTCATCAATTCAATTTCATTTCACATAACATCAAACTATGAAGAATAGCCCTACACTTACTTCTAGTGACATGACTACGAAAGACAGTTGGGGACATTTGAACATCATGAATTTGACTTCATTAATTAATGTTTTGAACTTCGCGATTCATGAATAAATGAAAATGAAATTATTAATTCGTGAAGATGAAATTGTGAAGTTGAAATAGTGAAGTTCAAAACATGAGTTCATGAAGTTGAAATGGTGAATTCGGGAATTTATGAAGTTGAAATGTCTCCACCAGTCTTTCGTAAGATATGCCATTCTTACATACGTTATGAGAAAAATATTAGGAGTGAGCTTGATTTTCTGTCAGAATGTTGAGCCCCATTTACACTGTCCAGGTAATGGCCGTGGTGAGCCGGGACAAAGCGGGGGATCGCCACGGTTATATTAAAATGTTTAATACAGGCGGGGCTCACCGGCACTCGCCGGGAAGGAAGCCCAGAACAGTGTTCTTTCGGCACCGGGAATCGCCGTGGAACCACCGTATTTTTACCGCATCCATACCGTGACAAGCCGTAGTTAACCAGGATGCGTGATCAGTGTCCACACGGCTAAGGCCCGGTAAATACACGATGTCGCCACGGTAAAAACAGGCAGAGCTACAGTAGAGCCAGGGGTACATTGCGGTTATTGGCGAGAACGGTCCGGTGGACCCGGTAATGTCACGGATATTGCCAACGAGTTACGGTTATACAACGGTGATAGACGGTGGCGTAACGATTTCGTGACGATAACAGACAATTAAAGAGTTAAAGTTTATATACACTTGTACTGCTACTTTTGGTCATTTTCTTAAAGCCGTTAGATTTTAGTCAGTCAGCCATGACCTCTTCCTTCTCATCTGTGAGATGAAGAGGGGCCGTTCTCTGCTTTTTACTTCTGAGGCGAGCTTTCCTTACTGTCCGGCTGATTCGACCCTTCCCTGCTATCTAGGGGAGTTATTTCCAAAGGTACCTCAACCTCAGTAGGCGTTGTATGCACATTTTTTTTTCTAAATTTCTTCCCCTTCCTTTGGTATCTCTGCTGTTTTTACCAAATGACTGATGTCAACGTGGTCTAATAAACTTGAATTTAACAGCATCGGCGCATTACCGGCGCTGCATCGGGACAGTACCAGCATCACCCATAACCGTGTATATCCGGTGTTATATCGGGTACTGAACTGGGAAACACCTGGGCCCTGTCGGGGATGTGTAAACGCAATTTGATTTTTCAGAAAAACACCACGGAACACCCCGGTTCACCGGCACAAGACACCGTAGCGATACCATGGTCATTACCGAAACAGTGTATGGGGCTTTAAAGCAGTACGCCTCCAGATTCATGCTAATTTTCATGAAAATTTTGAAAATGTATTTGAATGGGTAATATTGTGAATTAACCAAAAAGGAAGCAATTTGAACATTATCAATGGCACTTCCAAACAACGGGAATTACCAAAAAAGGGTCATAATATGCATTAATAGTCTTTACTGCGTTAGTAAGGCAGTAGAAATATAGTTGTAAACACTGAAAAAAAAATCAGTCATTAATCGCACATAATCTGTAAAATATTTCTTGATTCTTGATTTCCTTACATCTAAGTATAATTTTTCTCTAGTTTGATTTTATTGAAATATTTTGACTAATCTTGAGGATGTAGCTTTAAGACACACAATGGGTTGATATTTTGCTTACCTTACATAAAGTGATGATTGCATCAATGACATTTGTATAAGCAAAAAATAATACATTCATGTATACTATTACCTGTAATATTGATAAAACCGCAGACAAACAAGCTTCTAGGTGAAAGGCCGACACAAAATATACACAAATATAAACAATTCTGATTAAATGAATCTTTCTAGAATGAACTTCTCTGTGTGTTAGATTTATCTCAAGCTGATGCAGATCCAATTCACGACACCTGGGTTGCTAAATGAAACATTGTACTACTATTAGATATACAAATGTTTTTTATCACCAAGTGGTTTTTTGGCATGCATTATAGTCGTCAATCTTTGATGACTTCAATTTCAACCTTTTAGTTTGTATATGACAGAAAATCCTTTCCTATTAGATTGAGATTGCTGGGCTCCATATCACTTACATAACGTTAATACTAGCTGTTTTACATAACGTTTGATGTTTTAAACTTTTAGTGTTATGACATTTTACGGTTTGTGAAAATGATGCGATATTGAACAGTTATCGTTGTGACATTTAACGGCAAAATATTTTGAGACATTTAGCGGTGGTTGCGACATTTAATGGCAACAGCGCGACATTTAGCAGCAAGTGCGACATATAACGGCGTCGCATACATGCTTTCTGTTGGTACTGGTAGACACTTTACGCTTTGAATGCTAAAATACTTCTCGTCTGTCTTAATAAGATGCCGTCTGCATATTTTTTTTCAAGTTTTTCGTCTGGTCTTGAAATCGCTTACAGCAGACTTTGTGATATTGGCTCGGTTTTTATTTATTTTTTCCCATTTTTTTAAAAATAAAGTATATGTTCTTTTCTAATTAGATAAGTTGATATATTTATTTTATTTTAGAACTTGCATTTAGCCCAACTGGCAGTTTCATTGGGCGGTGTGGAGACACTTGTCGAGCACCCAGCAACGATGACCCACGGTCCAATGATCATGTCAGACGAGGAACGTGAAGAGGCCGGGATAACGCCAGGATTTGTTAGAATCAGGTTGACCGTCTTATGTTGATAAATTTGTATTTTCTATATTAACAAACAAGTCACACAAACACAAACATTCAGTAATTATTTATTGCATATTGCAGACGTTGCGGCTAGATGCCTTCATAATAAAATCACAGAAAGCGACGTCACAACTAAATATTTCTTTTTAATATTCTCAAACGTGTTGTTATGTTTCAATAATATTTGAGATAAAAATCAAGGTTTTTATTGGATAAATTTAGACGTCACTCGTGTTAGTAAATTGAAACTGCTGGCTTAAATCTGAAACCTGGCAAACCAGCCTAAAAAACTTGGTTCAATGCCGTTAAACACTATTAATTTGCGAGGAAAATGATTTGCGAATATTATACAATTATTCCCTAGAGAGCCTTTGTATATTGTCGAATATTATCCGAAAGCGAATAAAACCAGTTCAACAGTAATAAAAAATATGATTTATTTGCATTGCAGATAGTTTCAATACTTGATATCTGTCGGCTACCTCTTGATTCAGGATGCAGAACTGCTCGGCTGCTTTCGTTACTAAAATTAACCAGCGAGCACTCATCACAAAAAAAAATGAAAATATATGAGAAACTACATCTGCCCGTATCATATTCAAGTTATACCCCTTATTTAGTACCTTTTTGAGCTCACAATGGCGTGTACACCCTACATTTGTTACTCTGCTTCCTTAGAAATATTGTTACTGTATGGGTACATACATACAGTTTTTACAGTGAAATCCTACATTAACATTTATTAAATAGAGAATTTACTAATATTTCGAATATAAACAAGCAGAAAATGCGTTGTATACGTTGTATTTTTTTAATTAAGCATAATTAACAATGACCAATTTCTTTTCAATTTTCAGTATCGGATTAGAGGACCCAGACGATTTGATAAGAGATTTTCAACAGGCCTTAGACAAAGTTCCAGCGTGATTGGCAGATCAGCATGACGTCAGTAGTCACGTGAACATGAAAAACATGTGTCGCCAACATTTTTATTTTATATACTCCAGTCCAACAAACGGCACTCGTTCTGTGACCATAATCGTATTCTTTGTGATATTATACTTAGGTACAATACTGAATTCTTTTTGACAAGTACATACTACACAGCAATATAGCTTTTGCAGCAATGTACGAGTCTATATGGAGTACAATATGCTTTCGATACGGATTTGTTGGACTCGGGAAATGATGATTTGTGCGGAAATATCACGTGATGAAATGCTGGAAGATTATTGGTTACATTTTATAAGGTGTGAAATAAATTTATATGAGCCGCGTCACGACAAAACCAACATTATGGGTTTGCGCCCAGCATTGGATCCAGACCAGCCTGCGCATCCGCGCAAGTCTGATCAGGAATCCATTGCTGTTCGCTATCAGTTTTCTTAACTTTTCATAGAGTTTGTAATCGAACAGCATGGATCCTGATCAGACTGCGCGGATGCGCAGGCTGGTCTGGATCCATGCTGGTCGCAAACCCATTATGTTGGTTTTGTCGTGACGCGGCTCATACATGTATATTGTCGTATAGGTATGTACATATATATTCACGGACGATTACTCTACACATATGAAAAAGAAATATTTCCATTGTTAAGTATGTGTTTATATATCTAATATTAATAAACAAATGTAAATATTATATATACAGAAGAATATCTAACTTAAACGAATTATTAATAAATTTTGCCACTAGCAGTAGTGTACCTATTTTCGGTCGAAGATCGTTTAAAATCAGTTCGACTTCCTGTAAAATTAACCGGGAAGAACTGAATAAAGTAGAATTTTCATTGGTCATTTCAAAGTTAAAAATTATTATCTGGGAATCTTATTGGCCATTCTAAATAGGTTTGAAAGATGTCCAAAATGCTTTACGTGTGTAATTGTTAAAAATTAATCTAAAGAGTTCTGGAAAAGAAATGGGTTCATAAGTTTGCTACATTTTTAAGTTCTTTCACTTTCTAGTTAAGCTTTTCCAGATATTCAAGTTTAAATATATCATTTCTACATGAATACAAAAATTCGAAATGATTTTAGCAAGTATAAGCAGTTTTACCTCGGCCGGGTATCTTTTTTTGTTTAAAGATACTTCTTGTTTATAATCAGACCATATGAAAATTACTAATCATCACAGTCTAGTCTGCTTTTCCAGTTTAAAGACACACGGCATTTGTTACATGTCAATTAACATGTATCATGTATGCACAGCACACATCAGGCCGGAGATGAAAAGATTTATGCGTTATTTAAACAAACATTGCCGAGATACGATGACGCGTTTATTATGATTGAGGGTTAGACTATTCTGTATTTTATCTACTATCAATATTTTATTCATTTTTTTTATTTCGCACAAGTAAAGTTGTACATGTAGAATATATAAATATTGTTTCCGACATGGAGAACAGTAGCATATGGATTAATCAAAGCGCTGAAAGCACCCGTGCTCAGTACAGTACAACCTCAGCAACGTCCTTTAAGAGACAAAGATTTTTGTTTTTGGTTGCTCCTGAGAAGTGGTGTTGCTCTAGAGAGGGTAAAATAATATACAAATCATCAGTATATAACAAAAGCAAATGGGATTGTCGACAAGTTCTTGCCATATTAGATTAAACCCTTCCATTCCTTACTTCAGAAAGAATAGAATCTTTTGTTGTAAAGTGGGGATTGTTCTACAGAGCGCCGTTTTGCGGGGGTTAAACAGTACTTCAAAATGTCTAAATATTAATTTTTGGATCGATTATTGTTAGTCCGAAAGAATTTAGGGCTATATGTATTTCAATGTAACGCTGAACTATTCTTAAGGTCGGAAGTTTACGGAATACACACAACAGCCATTCAGATTAAACGAAAATAGTTCTCGACTGGAATCTTTGTTATTCGCATCGAATAATAAAACTTAAATTACCAATAAAGGATAGGATTACACAGTTTAATCACCTCTAAATTATGCTTATTTCTTTAACATAATACGCAACGAAATTAAGAAAATGTAAGTACATTGTATTACTACTCATCGATACAGTCTTTACTTAAAGATAAAATATAGATACTTTATAGATACAAAATTGGGACTTCTTAGAAAATTAATGATGATTGTTTAATGCTGAATCTGCTGAAGTTATGCAATGGCTTTTGTACTTTGAACAGTCCGTCAAAAGTATTCGGAGGTTTTAATATAGAGTCTGGACCGACTGCACAAAAGTTTAGGCATGTGCTGGTTCAGGATAATAACTTTCGGCTTAAGCAGGAAAGGGGTTAGGATTCTCTGCTTATACATGTATAATATATTCTGTAAACGCATCTTATGACATAAAGTATATTGAAGACCTAGGTGTCTTTGTTGGTAGAAATTAATACGGATGTATTAATCGGACAAGCCAGCCAGCCAATTTGCATAAAACTATAAACACTGGAAAGGTTCATTAGGCCGCCATCCCCTAGAGTCGAATGTGATTCAGTGGTTCTCTTCTGTAAACTAACAATGCAGTATCTCTACTTCACTTTGAGTTTCCGTCATACCGACATTCAGTGCAGTTTTAGGTGTTCAGGATAAAACTTTCATACATGTATATTAGAAAACACGCATGTCATTAAAAACCTATGGAAGCCCGTAACTGACACAGCATCCATTCATTCGTTCCCCGTACATGTAATCATACGAAATCATAACAAATAACAAATACTTTACATTTACAATAGATTTATTTTACTGGCATTGTTCTGTATGACAATTTTAACAGCCAGTGAATTACAGTTACATGTTACATAACAGAAATGTTTTTGTTTTAAATCAAATATTTTTAGGCACATGCACTGTATGCATATAATTAACATGAATAATGATAAGAAATCAAATTAAGTCTTTCTAACGCAGAGGTAGTGTTATTATTGTGTTGCTTGAAACCTAGTGGAAGTTAAAAACAAGCTAAACATATTATGACTCAGTGATATGGCAAATTCAAGAAACGGGATACAATATGCAATAAATTATGAACATATTCAAGTTTAATACATCTAAAATATTCAAGAATCATAATAATTTTATTCATGAAATATTCTAAGTACAATAAATCATGAACAAATTCAAGTACATTTACAATAAATCATGAAATATTCAACAGCATAATTCATGAAATATCAAAAATGGTGAAATATTCAAAACTGATGATTAATGAAATATTTAAGTATGATAATTCGTGAAATATTCAAAGATCATAACTCATGAAATATTCAAGCATAATAATTATGCAAGCATCATAAATTTTGATATGCAAGCATCATAAATTTTGATAATATGCAAGTATAGTCAATGCAAGTCATACTTGTTATGCGAGTACCATAAAATGTAATAACAATCATAACATGTATCATAAATCATCATAAATGTAGTTATCATAAATCATAATGATAAATGTAGTTATCATAAATCATGATAGATGAAGCAATCATAAATCATGATAGATGTAGTCATCATAAATCATGAAAAAAGTAGTTATCTTAAATCATGATAATAATTTGTTCCCTCAATTTGAGGCATGAAGAGTATTTATGAACGCTTATTTTTAATCCTTACCATGTTCTACATATAAAAGTAAATTTAAATTTGGCCTAAACCATTTATTATTTCTTAATGAAATTTTTAAAAGAAGTACAGAATGAGCAGCAGTTTGTTCATGTATTATTAGTTATGATTGATGAAAAAAGGGTCACTTGAAACTGCTTGAACTATGCAACTTACAGTAAATATAATGTTTAACACATTAACAACAAAAACACAAAAAATATTTTAACTTATTGTTATAATATTAATACCCGTTTAAAATTATATTTGCAAAACAAAATACCTGCAATGACCAATGAATAGCAAACACTTTAAAGAACTCCACTGAGGTCAAATCACACATATATAATTTGAAATTCTTACTTAGTTCAAGTGTGGCACTAACAATTGTAAAGTTTACAAACCATAATAAATATACTGAAAATTAAACTTTAGGAATATTCTTAGCCCCTTTGAGTGAGAAGCATTCTTTTTGGGGTGATTTTGCACAAAACAAATGATTCTGATCTGGAAACGGATTAAGAGCATAATCTGAAACTTGGCGCCCAGACCTACATCAAATGGTACACAAGTGTTGAAAAAATAATTCTAGTGCCTTCAAGTAAAAAAAAAAAAACCTCAGTGGTGTCCCTTTAAGATTGAAAAAAACAAAACAAACATACCATTCAAAATGACCTATTAACAAAGCATCTATCTATGATTACACATGTATATACATAAGTAATATGTTTACATAAAGAAAACAATTTTTCAACATAAAAGACAAACTCCAGGAATGTACACAACAGATAATAAAACGACATTCAGAAATATTTCTCAAAGTGCTAAGCCTTTGCCAACAGTATAGAACCAGGCGAGCCTGCACATCCATGCAGTCTGACCAAACTCTAAACCAATGCTGGCTAAGTTTTCATATTTACATACTGAAATCCCTTTATTTCCATATGGACTGTTCCACATTAAAAGCAGCAGGGCAAATCCATTACACTTGCATGGTAAGTGGGTAAGTGTTAAGGTTTTGATTGTGACCAGTGGTTAACAAGGGGGAAATTTTAAAGGATCATCATAAAAACAATCTGGCATGGAGTCCATCTAAGTAATATCCAAATATAATTATATAATTCAACAACAATAGAACATTTGATTTCAAAGTACAATATTGTAATGTAAGAAGCGTTTTTAAAAGCATGCAGTGTGCTCCAAATACTGTGTTATTATTTAAATGAAAATGCTGTTCTATCTCGTCGTTAAACCATGTAATGAAACATGACTGTGGAATAAGTAAAAATTGTTCAAATACAAAACATGATGTGATAAGATACATACAAAATGCAATTAAGTGATATACATGAAGTATGATGGGATATTAAAAGTGATAAAATATGACGGGAAATCTAGTGATAAAACATGATGAGCAAAAAAGTGATATAATATTATGGTGTTATAATCCATTTAATCTGAATCAGCTGATAAAACAGGATGCAATAATGAATTAATAAGCATAAATCCAAAGATAAAACAGGATGTGGTAATGAATTAAATAAGAATAAATCAGTCACTAAAACAAGATCTGATGATGATTTAAATAATCAAAATAAAATCAGTGGATAAAACATGATGTGATAGTGAGCTTAATAAAAATAAATCAGCCAATAAAACAGGATATGATAATGAGTTTAATAAGAATAAGTCAAAAGATAAAATATGATGTTACAGCATTGTCAGAAAGATAAAACATGTTGTGATAGAACCATTTTTAATACAAATAAATCAGAAGATAAAACATGTTGTGATAGAACCATTTTTAATACAAATAAATCAGAAGATAAAACATGTTGTGATAGAACCATTTTTAATACAAATAAATCAGAAGATAAAACATGTTGCGATAGAACCATTTTTAATACAAATAAATCAGAAGATAAAACATGTTGCGATAGAACCATTTTTAATATGAATAAATCAGAAGATAAAACATTTTGCTATAGAACCATTTTAATACGAATAAATCAGTAGATAAAACATGTTGTAATAGAACCATTTTTAATGTGAATAAATCAGATGATAAAACATGTTGCGATAGAACCATTTTAATACGAATAAATCAGAAGATAAAACATGTTGTGATAGCATTTTAGGACAGCAAGCAATATAGAAAAAATACAGAACAGGATATAAAAGAATGCATATAATAAAAGTCAAAACAGCTAAATAGACAAAACATGATCTGATAATATATTCAGATTAAAACAAGCCATTTTAGGCTGTTTTGTAAAACATCTATTTCAAATAAGCACCTTTTTATCTCATTTTAAAAACATACACATTTAAACAAGTCTTTTTGCATTTAAAAAATGCTTATTATTTTCTACTTTAAAATGAACATTATTTTGAATGACTCAACTACCTATAAAGTGATGAACTTTTACGATGTTAAGATGAATGCTAAATAAGCTTATTATATCCTAACACATAAAAACTATTTACAATATTCGTTGGCAGTTTATAATGATTATCTTAAGTTCAGAGATTCAGAAGAGTATATAAAAACACTACCATTATTAAAACTTTAACCTCACAGTCATGTTGATGATGTACATTGAACATGCTATTTAATTTGGTATAAATCTATTGGCTATTTATTGCTATTTTTAAGATATATCAGTTTGATACTGTTTGAAAAAAAAATGATTGTCTTAAAATTTAAAATGTTCATTTCAGTAAAAAAAATTGCCTTTATTCTTATTTAATCTACATGTATGCATCTACAGAAAACACTAAACATGGATGTAAACCTTAGATAACTAAGCATTAGCAAAAACCTCCCATCTTTAACTTATGAAGGTTTTGTTTCTTGTTGGTTTGGTTTTGTATGCCAAATTTAATACATAATTTAGTCATACCATGGTGGTGAATCAACCTTACTTGCTTTCCTGGACAACTAAGCAGCAATTACAAATTGTGAGGTGTTTATCACCATTTATACTAAAATGACAATTTCAATTTTTTTTATTCAAGCTATTCTACAAGTATATACAATACGAAAACAAAAATATTCAAAACACTAAGGGTAGAGAAAGGAAAAAAAATTGCAAAGCTCTATTCTAATCATTTTGCATTGTCTAATCTACATTACTTGACAGTAGGACATTTATTTTATTTTTTATATAGCAGTTTCACTAGCACACTTAAGATTCATGTATATAATGTACATGTATAACAATATTTTCTGAGATGACAATGATTATATAACAAACATGTATAGCTGTTCACTAGGAGAATAAATTGGGCATGTGATGATGTTAAATGTGTAATACTGATGCATGCCACACTATCATGCTCTGCCTCATTTTGAATATTTTGGAACCATGTGACTTTTACTTGAAAGATAATTACGTTAATTGCGAAAAGGATCTACTGTTAATTGTATTGGCTAATACATGTGGAATAATGTACAAGATAATAGCAAATCAAGGAAAGTTAAAGGAACTCCACTAAGGTCCAAAGGCCTAAAAACATAAAACTGCAAAATCTAACAAATATTAAAACTGCAAAATCTAACAAATATCAAATAAAGCACTTAAAATGGAAAAATCGGTAATGGATAACAAAGAAATGTACTCAGAATTAAACAGGAAATTGACTTTTTTGTACAATTCTTTGGCAGTTTTGAGCTAAAAGCTAAAAATGATCATTCTCGAAAAAAAATGGAGAGAGGCAATGACTTTAAAATGTGCACATAAATAACTGGTCTTGAGCTACATCACTTGGTACAAAAATCTCGGAAAAATATTTCTAGTCCTGTCATGTCAAAAAACCTCAGTGGAGTCCCTTTAAAGTTGAAATTTGCCGAGACAAACACACTAAACAACAATAGCTGTAAGTATAAAACAGGTAAGCAACTTACTATAGAACTGAGATAAAAGATAATGGAATCATTCAATAAATACCCTGATTACCTCAAATAACAACACATAGTTTTGAATATAAACACAGATTTCAACATTTGTATGCATGTAAATTATTTGTTTTATTTCATGAGGTCAAGCCAAACAAAGTTTTTACACCAATATAAGAAAGAATTTATCTTATTTTATGTCAATATTTAAATATTCATATGAGATACTATAAACATTTTAATTGCATCCAATAGATGTTACCTAGAACTCGGCAAATGTGGGTTTTTCCAAACTCACAGTACAAATAAACTTTTACCATTGTAACTTCACAGAGCACTTCCGTTCACAATAGATAAGCCAGTCATTTGTGCTTATTTTTGAAGTTGTAGCTATAAAAGTTTGTTTGTACCTTGGAATTAGCTGGAAAAACCTAAAGTATTCTTAATTCCAGCAAAAGTCTATTTCTTGGGACCTTTACATTTAATCAAGTACTAAAGATGCATGTTTTCTCTCCTTTGTAAACAAATAAACATTGTCTCTTTTAATAAGGAATAATACAAGATTTGTTTTTAACAACATGAATGCAACCCATCCTCATTTTGATAATAAACAAAAACAATTTAACTTAATTTGATAATAAACAAAACAATATAGCTAAATTTTCCAAATTTGAAAGATTGACCTTCAAGGACAAGGTCACTCAGAGATCAAGGTCACATAATTATAAATCTATCAAAATGAAGCTCTTGACAATAGTTAAGTTCAAATATAAAAACTTTTGTTTATAGAATGAAAACTGTACAGCAAGATTTACAATTTTCCACAGACAGATGACAGACAGACAATAAACAAACAGCCTGTCTAAAAAACAAACAATATGTCCCAAGTTAAATCTAAAAATACGAGGGACATAGAAATTACATTCGCACTACTACTATTTTTTTTTTTTTAACAGTCATTCACATTTTAGAGAATTTAAACTTTATAAAATGAAACCATTCCAAGAATAGTATTTTGCTCAATCACAAATATTCTTACAAACTAGGATATATGCCTGTAAGTGGCAGAGTTTATCATAAAATATTCATATTCAAATACTTCCGACTGTCGAAACATTTCCATGTAGAAAAATATATGAGATTTATGGATAAAGTACTTACATTATCACAGAGAATAGTCAACAACCTTGGATAATTTTTTCTAAATTCTTCTATCAACATTTCATATTTAATTTCACAATTGTGCAAATATTATAGAAATAAATCTTTTCAACTATTTAAAAAAATAAACAATAGTTTCTTTCTTAATAAGATTGTTTTTTACTAAAATTAAATGGTATTTCTGTAGTAAACTTAAATGAATTACAAAAGAAAAACTTTTAAAATCCAGTTGATTAGCTTTGCTTAAAATGTGCAATTAGAAATTGAAAAAAAAAACAACATAATGTGACATTCTAGAACGTATAAAATACTTAAACTGTATTTATAAATGAGTAAAAATAAAATAAAAAATCGTAAATTTATGAAATAAAAAAGTTAGATCTCATAGAGTATCAACATATATTTGTAACCTAACTTAAACATAAAATATAACTTTGAGACATTTTAGTGTTCTAAAAAAATCTGCAACTTATTTTAATCAATAAAATTCTTACTTTTATTTTCAATACATATTTATAAAATTAAGATTAAACTTTGATTCAATTCTGACTCAATTGAATACTGAGATAGTCAACATAATAACAAAGACATAACATCATAAAATAAAAACACTTACTTAAAAAACTTTTTCCTCTTGTTAATTTCTTTTCATAAAACCTTTCATTAAAACATTATTAATTTGCTTAAAAGTAATATCTGATTTTAGACAAAACTATTACAATTAACTTTTTTCTAATATCTTTAACGCTTTGAGATATAACAGATTTTACGACATTTACCAGGGACATAATATAAAGGGGCATAAAACTAGAGATTAGAGTCATGTAATATTTTCGTCAAATCAATTGTCTTATATTAATCGTTGCAACAGGTATATTTTTGTTTGTTCGCGGTAATCGTGTAAATAAGAGAAATAGAAGTCAACTGTTTGTTTGTTCAGTTTTACGGTGCACTGACACAGTTTAGGCTATATGGTGGCGGAAGAGGGGTTACCTTGGGTCTTACAATATTCAAAGCAAAACCACGGGACAAAACCACATCACCTGCTGGAGCTAAGAGATACAAAGACTCCAGAAGATTTTAACAGTCCTTACATATCCAAATGGTGTTTACGTGATTTTATGAAAATTTTATTGATCTTTTTTATTTCATTTTTCTTTTTTTTTAAATAATGGCATAAATATAATGATTTAAACATTACCCCATTACAGATTGATCGGCTATTAATAGGGCATCAACAAGCATGTAAGATGTACAGACTCAATGAAACCAAATCTCCAAGTTTCATTTTTTGTTGTTGCTATTAATGCTCCTGAGGATTCACACACACTTTATCCAGATTTTTTTTTTCTAGTTAGTAGTTGCTTGTCCCTTTATATTAAGTCCCAGATTTTACTATATAACAAACAATGTAAAGAATATGCAAATAAATCTGCTGTATAACATTATACACATAAAAACAAGTTTTAGTATTATACTATATAACAAGTTAAGTAAAACCTAAAAGAAATTCTACTACTGTCAATGATTTTTATTCACAGCTTCTATACTGTTTAAATAAAGATTTTTTAAAAATAGTATTCAGAGGAAATTTTGGAAACTTTTAAAAGAACATTTTGTACAAAATGAAATACAACTTTTTCTTTCAGATGATGTCATGATATACAAGTATCAACCATATCTTTCCTTTTTTCTTTTTCTTTTTTTTAAGTCATATTTGACTATAAGTAGAAAATTGAGTTGGTCTTAAAGAAATCTTCACAATTTTAGGAATTTTCAAGATTAAATTGACAAGTTTAGAATTTCAATTTGGAAAAGGCTCACAGTTGGCCAATATTTTTTATCAATGACAAAAAGAATAACTTATATACAAAATAATCACTGTACATACAAACAATAAACGAGATTTACATACATGTACTACAACATGGAATATTTTTACATGAATGAAAACTGGCGCAGTTTGGATACACAGACATAAAGTGGACACCAACAAGTGTGAAGGAAATACCCTTTCCTTATAAATTTAGTAAAAAATTTATTCAAAATGGCGCTTTTACAAATCCTCTAACAAAATATTCTATAACATAAAATATGCCCCCCAAAAAGCACACCTGCTTAGCAATAATATCAACATTATAAGCCTTTGCTATAACTTATAAATCACAAAATAAAATGCATTGATTGAACTTCATGGTCGATAACTTATTGTTAATACTTCAAACTGCGTTGTATTTGCAATATTTACATTTCTTTTTTCATTTGATTCACTTCTAATGTAACCTTGTAAGAAATTCAGGCTGTTTGAAACCAAAACTTTTTTTTCTTCTTCATAAATATCATTAAGTCTTTCAATGAAGGATTGCAAATAAATACTTGAAACAAATCAATGTATCTCTCCAATCAGCAATCCCTAAATTTAATTATACTGGCTAGAACTAATGGGAAATAATTTTGTTTATTTGTTCCTCCTTGGTGAAAAACAACAAAATTATTCAAAACCAAAAAATTTGTTTTTCAAAACCTGCATGAACATTTTCAAATATATTAACATGTCCCTCAATATCTAATCTATATTTTCCCTTTGTAAATTAAGGTTTTGTTAATTTTTGCAATATTCCAAATTTTTTGGTTTTGTTCCACTTTGGCTATGGTGAAAATTTCCATCCTGAAAAGCGGCTTCGCTGTACGATGGCAAAATGGTTTTGTTCCTATAATAGGTGTACTATTTAATGATAAGCATCATGAATTCTGGCAGCCTCCTGTACTATCACAGATTCATTTCCAAACATCTTCACATATGGTGACACTTCCTTCCATTTTGCGCTCAATCCCTACAAGAAAAGGCAAAAAATATGTAGCAATGATGGATGATCCATAATACTGCTTTGACAAAGATAAAACCATAGCCTCTTTATGGGCAACATAAGAAAGACAATGGCTTCAGTATGTACAAATTAGAAAAACTATGGCCACACCATGTACAAAAGTAGAAAAACCATGGCCTCACTATGTACAAAAGTAGAAAAACTATGGTCTCACTTTGAATAAAAGTAGAAAAACTATGGCCACACCATGTACAAAAGTAGAAAAACCATGGCCTCACTATGTACAAAAGTAGAAAAACTATGGTCTCACTTTGAATAAAAGTAGAAAAACTATGGCCTCACTATGTACAAAAGTAGAAAAACTATGGCCTCACTATGTACAGAAGTAGAAAATCTATGGCCACACTACATACAAAAGTAGAAAAACTATGGCCACAATATGTACAAAAGTAAAAAAGGGCCATATTATGTACACAAATAGAAAAACTACAGCTTTAATATTAGTATACTTGGCTTTTTAACACTATATTTGTATATAACATAAATGACATCACATCAAAGTGTTATTATGCTAGCGTGATATTACTTTTATCAAATTACTTTATTACAGCCCTACATCCTGGCTTATGTGATAAATCAAATATACTTCTAATACTTTGAAGGTTTTTCAATTTCAAAACCACACCTTTTACAAAAGTACATAAATATAAATGAATTTCAACTTACCTCTGCAAGTCTTAGGTCAAAGGTGTCCCCAATGTCATAATGGAAGTTCCAGACCTCTGTTTCTACCCAGGCATTATCTGTGTTCCTTGGATCATCCAGGTAACCTTTGTACAACAGTGATGCACTGAAACAAAAACAAGAAGATTGAAAACAAAAACACTCATTCAGAAATTAATATAAATAAATTCCAAAACTTATGAATAAGACATATGTAAACCATAAAGTGATTCAATAAAAGATTCAGCATACAGTACACCAATGGTCATATATAGGCATGAAAGTCTGTCTGCAAGTTGACTACTACAGAAAACAATTGCTTTCTTATTTTCCAGCTAGAAGAATGAAGTTTAAATACATAGGTAAATGTACAACAGAAAGCATAATGGCTTATGTGGAACAAACAACAAATCAACAAAATCAGCAAAAAAGCCTGAAAAGAACAATGATCAATTAGCCAGCATATTGGCTTTCAGTTAGCCAGCATATTAGCTTAATAGGAAGAATCAACCATCCATAAGCCAATAGATTGGCTTACATGGTTCAACTAACTATCCACTTGAGAGCAGAATAGCTTAAATGGAACAATCAACCATACATTAGCCAGGAGAATGGCTGATATAGAACAATCAACCATACATTAGCCAGGAAAATGGCTGATGAAGAAAAATCAACCATTCATTAGTCAGCAATATGGCTAATGTCATGAATGTAGAACAATCAAGTCAAAGAACCATGTATCAACCATTTGAGTGCCAGCAGTAGGATAGGCCTATACCGTCAGTGTAAAGCCAGGCTAGCATAAACATCCATGTAGACTACTAATTTTTGCTGAAATAAATCATACAATATAAAAACCCCATTAATAAAAATTGGACAGTTCCAAATCCAAAGCATGACAAGTATTTATAACAAATTTAGCTTAGTAAGATTTAAGCATAAGAAAAAAAAATCAGGCAATACTATGACATCTTTTATCATATTACCAAAATCCTTGGGCATCTGCCTCGGCCTTAAGATTACTTTTACTCGCTGAAATAAATGGCTGCATTCCAATTTGTGGACCTGACCGCATAGAAGATGACGTAAGATCTGACACCTGGAACGATGATCTCGAACTCGAGCCTCCTGCCACGACACTGGCAAACTGGGCAAAGAACTGTCAACATAAAATTAAAATAGTCAAAAAACGGCTAAAAGATGAATGAACAAAAATGAAAAAAAAAAAAAAAAAACCCCAAATATAACTGAAACCACAGCCAGTTCAAACATAGGTGTACAAATGTGTCTTTTATAAAAAGGTGCTCCTTCTTTTTTATATCTTCAGTTTAATGTCTACAAACATTTTAACATTTGATTTATATGACGATTTATTTTCTATTGTAATATGGCCAGGGTGAGTGAGAAAAATACTTTTTATCTCATTGACATTGTTAAATTTGTATATTATTCTTGCATTTGAAAAATCTTGAAAAATCAGAGAAAAAAAATTCAGGCATACATTATGTCTTAGAAATCAATATTTTTTTTCTACATTCTTTAGTAAGGTGAAACATGTGTTTAATAATATTTTAATAATGTATGTAGAGCAATCTTGATGTTAAACAACTGAAGAGAATAGCCCTGAACAAGATGTCATGTGTTGTAAAAATATTGAAATGTAAACAAAGTTTCTGTACAAAACACTAAATAATTGTAATCATTTATTTGTACCTATTGTCAAAGGAATATTGATAGTCAAATTCAGGAGATTTAGAGTTAAAATATAAATATAAACAAAATCATGAGATAAATTCAGGTTTATTTATAAATATAAACAAATTCAGGAGAATTAGACTTAAAATGTACGTATAAACCAACCTGTATCATGTCACTCTGGTCATTATGTTGACCGGTATCCTGCTCATCAAATACCTGGCTCATAAATGATTTACACAGAATACTATAGGGATTACTCATTCCATGAAGAACATCCTGAAAATAAATCCATTACTGGCATGTATTTTAATTCTATCAATTCTGTCAATTTCATAATTTTCTGCTGGAAAGTCCCCAATAAATTTTAAGTATCATCATTTATCTTCAAGCATAGATATAAATTTGTTATACAAATTAAATTATGTTGTAGGAAATAAATAAAGTCACGACAGGTATTGTAAAATCTAGCAATACCTAGGTCAGGGTCTGTATGGTCAGGGTCGGTATGGTCAGGTCTGTCAGTCAAACAGTCAGTCAGTAAATAAATAGATTAATATCAAAAGATGAATATTAACACTTAATATGCTGGAACAAATAATAAAACGCCTTTCCCATAAGTATATAATCAGTCCAGTCTACACATCAGTGATAACACTCTTAACAGTTGACTGACCAACTATACTTAAATTCTGTAACACAATGTTTTTAAATTTGAACTTGTACTTGGTTCTCAGCATTAAGAAGGTAAAGGGGGATATTCTGATTTCACATCTTACCCCAGGTAGAGAATAGCTTGAATCCACAAAGTTATCTTTTTGTACAGCTATAAACTCAAGTACACGTTTTCCTTCAACATACAGATAGTCTGTCATTGTATTTAGGTCCGGCCCGTATTTACGCCTCCATCTCGTAACGACCACTTTGATCACATGATTTGGACCCCAACGCCACAAGATTCCTTTACCTTTCATTCCAGTTCTTCCCATAGGATTTCTGGAATAAAACAATACAAAATATATAATTTGATACATATTTTCTTTTCATTTCTATGGAAGTCGATAGGTTAAATATTGTAAGTAAGCCAAGCACTAGTTCCGACCCTTATCATTACAAAAACTAGAACTATCGCTGAATGCGATTCATACCCCTACTAATGTCCTTGACAGAAGACAACTTGGAAAGGTGGTTAAGGGAATAACTTAAGTGACACAAATACATAAAAAGAAATTATCTCTGGTGAAAAAAAAGACTAATTGTACAGGTAAAAGTAAAATATTATTATCAAAATCATGTTCGAAACAGTTACAAATAACCTTTCATTTTCCCAATATACTAAACTTTTTATAAGTCAATTTTTGACCTTCAAGTGTGGCCTTGACCTTCAGCTGGCAACAAGGGTAAGATGGGTTCTGCACATCGCCCAATTGGAGTTAACATTTGAGTAAAGTTTGAAGAAAATCCTTCCATTAGTATAGAATTTATAGAGCGGACACAACATATTGTCTAGTATTGATTGTATGTAAATTTAAAGACTTAAAAAGGGGCATAACTTTGTCAAAATCCAATACAGAGTTATGAAACTTGACCTGCATATTGTAATTGTGACACCTCATATATCTTTTAAGTTTAAAGCAAATACCTATGCTAGTTTCCGAAATATTCAAGAACATGTTTTAATCTAAGAACATTTTCTAAGTCAATTTTTGACCTTCAAGTCTGACCTTGACCTTTAGTCTGCACAAAGGTGACATAGATTCTGCACATAACCTTGTTAAGGTGAACATTTGAGAAAAGTTTGAAGAAAATTCTTCCATTAGTATAGGATTTATAGAGCGGACACAACATATTGTCTAATATGTGATTGTATGTAAATTTGAAGATTAAAAAGGGGCATAACTTTGTTAAAATGCAATACAGAGTTATGAAACTTGACCAGCATATCTTAATTGTGACACTTCATTTATATTTTAAGTTTCAAGCAAATACCTTTCCTAGATTCAGAAATATTCAGATATATGTTAAAATTAAAGAACATTTTCTAAGTCAATTTTTGACCTTCAAGTGTGACCTTGACCTGAAGCCGGCAAAAGAGTGACATGGGTTCTGCACATAACCTTGTTGAGGTGAACATTTGAGCCAAGTTTGAAGAAAATCTTTCCATAAGTGTAGGACTTACAGAGCTGACACGACATACTGTGTAATATTTGATTGTTTGATATTTGACCTTCAATTGTGACCTTGACCTTGAGCTGACACATGAGCAACATGGGTTCTGCACATCCCATTGTTGAAATGAACATTTGAGCCAAGTTTGAAGAAAATCTTTCAATTAGTGTAGGACTTACAGAGCGGACATGACATATTGTGTAATATTTGATTGTTTGAAATTTGACCTTCAATTGTGGCCTTGACCTTAAAATGACACATAGGCAACATGAGTTCTGCACATCCCCTTGTTGAGGTGAACATTTTAGCCAAGTTTGAAGAAAATCTTTCAATTATTGTAGGACCTACAGAGCGGACACGACATACTGTCTAATATATGATTGTGTTTGATATTTGACCTTCAATTGTGACCTTGACCTTGAGCTGACACATGGGCAACATGGGTTCTGCACATCCCCTTGTTGAGGTAAACATTTCAGCCAAGTTTGAAGAAAATCCTTCAATTGGTATTTATAGAGCGGACACGATAATGGAGACAGACGGACCGACCGACCGACCGACGCGACAAAGCGAATCCATTATAGCCCCCCCCACATTTTGTGGTGGGGGTATAACTAGTTTGAGAGGGGTAGACTGACTGACAAAATTAGGATTGTTTATTTATTAATGCATCTGCTTTTTATGCCCACATTAACATATTTTTGGTCACATCTTGGCGGTCGGCCCTCTTAACCAACTTGACTTGATAATTATCCAGTAATTACTGATCTCTCTGCATTTGACCAGCTACTTATCCTACATGATTTCTGAATCAGCTGTGAGAGACAAATGACCATAAGACTCAATGTCCGAGATCATTACAGTCATATAGAAAGTTCACCTCATCTTAGGATAGAACCAATACTATCGGGATTTCGAATCATATGCTTCCTTTAGTGAGCTTAGTGAGTAGCTATCTGGAAACGATAGTGTTGTAAAACTAGGTTAAATTGAAAATATTGTACACCCAGCTTGAATGAGCCTGATTATGTATTGTAGTGGTTTCTATAGTTACTATAAAAGCAAATACGCAATACAATTTTGATGGATGTTTTTTCCAAAATTTGAAGGAAATAATATATAACTTTTCTATACAAACATATACATGACTTTTTCTATAATCAGTGCATCACAAAGGATCAAACTATTTTACAACTCATACAGAAATTAATAAGTAAAAAAAAAAAAAATTAAAAATAGGAAAATATTAACTTACTGCGGTAGACCTAAAGAATCTATGGTATAACGTAATGGTTGGTTATCTACGTTAATCCACGATCTACGATCAATCTCTCGTCTTTCACCGTTCTCCTTGAATGTGGTCACGGTATTCCACTTAGCCGTGAACTCCGGTATAGGTGTCAGTCGATCTAACTCCTCGCACATTCCGGTACCGCCTGCTGCAGCGGCTGCTGCTGCTATAACTGCCTGCCTCTCCTCTTTACATCGTAAAATTCTTTAATGAAAAAAAATAGTCTTGAAAGTTTTAAAATATTCAATGAAAACAAGTTAATTATACAAACCATTTGAATAAATTTCAAACCTCCCTTTTATAATAACACAGAAAACAATTATCAATAATTTCTCAGACAATTAAAAACAATAACCCAGCAAAAAAGGCCACTGTGATAAAGACCAATTGGTGAACATAATAGAGTTTTTACTGCACTAATTCCTGTAAAGTGACCAAATTTTTATAGCGATCACACCTTTAAATAACAAAACATATGAAACAGATAAGTACAGATATAACAAAATGCATTCCTGTAACATAATTTTTAACTTATACCTGTTCACTTATATATATATATATAAGAAAGCCTGAAATTTTCTTAAGAGCACCCTAGTCAAAATGTATGTTGATCAAAGAATAAAGGTCCTTACTTACAAAGGGAAGATGTTACAGCCAAAATTCAAGTGACCTGTAGAGTGACAGACAGGTTCATAAACAACAATGACCTTCCTTCTACCCCCTCACCCCATAACTATTACTTTCCGAGTTTCGTTTATAAAGTATCTCTTTTATTATGATTGTGCAGGAGAAATAATAAGCTTTGACAAAACCATTAATCTCTTCCTGAATCAACTAGTAATAAGCAAGGATTTTAAATTTTCTTTCTCAAAATAATCAACGGCTTGTCCTCCACTCAATTTGAACCCGTGTGACTATGAACAATCCTTAGATTACTTCTGTGTTGTATTAACCATGCAGCAATGCCACTATATACATGTATATTGATATCAAGGTAGAAAAGGAACAAAAAGTTTCGGAACAGACTGTATAAAGGTATACTTACTCTAGAATGTCGTCATCGACATACATAATCTCATTCTCCGGGAATTTGTCCGGACTTAGTGTAAATGTCTTAGGATCATAAACATCATACTGTGTCTGTATGAAAGAAAATATCTTATTGTCAAAATTCCTGAAGTTAAATGAGCCGCATCACGACAAAACCAACATAATGGGTTTGCACAGGCTGGTCTGGATCCATGCTGGTCGCAAACACATTATGTTGGTTTTGTTGTGACGCGGCTCAAATGTCTTATATACATTATATTGTGTATGTACAAAAGAAAATAATATCTTAAAGTCAACATTTCTGCAGTTAAATGTCTAAATAAGTATATACATCATATTGAGTCTGTACAAAGAAAATAATTTCTTATGCTCAACATATTAACAATTAAATGTCCAAGTATATGTAATTAAATGTCTGTGTATTTGTAGTTAAATGCCTGTGTAAATGTTGTTACATGTCTTTGTTTGTTTGTTTGTTTTTTATTTTACGCCTTTTCCCAACAGTATTTCAGTCATATAGGCGGGTAGTTTCTTAACCATCGTTCCTGGAGAGTTACACAAGTACTAGACTACCTTCCTCCACCCTAAACTACGAAAGCATCTCCCAGGGATCGAACCCACGTCAGAGAGGTAACTGGATTAGAAGTCATCGACTCTAACCCCTCGACCACGGAGGCGGGTTTAAATGTCTTTAGAGATGTAGTTAAATGTATGCTTCTTCTCATTGACGATATATCAGTTTAATATATAATTATACAAACCTCCCACGGAACATATTTATCAAACACTGGGAACCGTGTTAAACTTGTGGATGGGTAAGGTGATTGTCTTGCTGCTACGTGTATAAATCTTCCCTTAACATTGGTAATACCCATTACATCTGAAATACAAAACAAAATATTTCAATAACTGCTATTTTTGGAATTGGGTCAAGATCATTTGTAAGCACTATATATGGCAATGTTACATTTCATTTTGAACCTATAACATATAAACTTTGAAAATAATTTTCAGCACTATTACATATAAACCTTTAAATTCATTTAAGACCTATTACATATAAACTTGTGTTTTCTTGTTGTTGCTTCTTTGTGTTTTTTTGTTTTGTTTTTTTGTTGGGTTTTTTTTTCAAAATTTATATAAAGAAGAAAGTATTTCTGGAATAAAGATACATTATATATGTGTACAAGAATTTTTTTATCAGGACTAAATTGTTTGAGGGCACAGCAAAATTTAACTTAAACTTATACAATACATTATAATTCAATCAGAATTTTCTTCTATTGTCTACTCAGGACAGAAAAATTATAACAGCCTTGACAACGGCTTTAACCCTTAATCAGTGTAAAAGATTAACCCTCCTTTGCGTCTGGAACAATCCATTCAAATTCTAAGGGATCTGATTACGAAAATACAAAAAAATGAGCAGCATAAAACCTGGTCAGACTTCACGGACCTGCAAGCTCGCCTGGATTTATACTTCTAGCAAAAGTCCAAGAAATCCATGGAAAAAATGGGGCAAATTGTGCACCTTGTGTACAAAGTCTAATCAATTTTAAGTCCCGGCAGCAATTCAAATTTTCATCCATAATTTTGTTTGTTTGTTTAGATTTTATGGCACACCAACATAATTTAGGTCATATGGCACCAAAACAGGTTTTTGGCTAACCCTAGGTGTTACAAACTCAAAGCAACACAGGGGGGTCAACAGATGCATAACCATCAGTAATTCGAACCCATTTAGTCATCTCTTACGAGCACGCAGGGATAAACAGTGGCTGCAACTCTGATGCCTCACCCTTAAAGGCAACCCAAGTCACAAGGGGGTTCATTCATCATACAGTGAATAAAAATCTCATTAGCTACATGTATATTAATATATTTTAAGCAATGTCTAGCTGATTATGTAATTACTAAGGAATCATTACAAGGGCAAAGCATCATATACTAGGAAAACAACTTAAGGGGTATCTGTTTTCTAATTTAATGACATACCTGCAACCCTATCTGCAATTCAATAACGTTACATGAATGTTATGTTTGTTTCATTTCATGCCTTTTCCCAACAGTATGACAGTAATATAGGCGGGTAGTTTCCTAACCATCGTTCCTGGAGAGTTGCACCAGCACTAGACTACCTTCCTCCACGCTAAACTACCAAAGCATCTCCCGGGGATCCAACCCACGCCAGAGAGGTAACTGGATTAGAAGTCATCGACTCTAACCCCTCGACCAAGGAGGTGGTTTTGTACCATATTTCTCCTAATGCAAGAGATCAGGTGCCAATATCATCATGAGACCTAATTGATAAGGGTTTTTTGGGGGTATTTTATAGACCAAAGTTTCCTTACTTGAGACTAAATATTCCTTCTTTGAGAACAAATATTTCTTATCTGAGACCAAACGTTTCTTATTTGAGAATGCAATAGTAATCAAATCATGTACGGCAATTATCACAAAAATGTACAAATATAACTCTCTTATGTTATGATATAAAATTTGCCTTTCATAACAACATGCATTAATGTTACATGAATATAATTCATTTAAGATTCATTTATCTATTACTTTTATTTTTAAATATAATTTTTTGCAAGTTGACATGAAGATAAGGAGTCAAGGAAATGTGGATGAAAATTAGGAACCCACCAAAAAGTATCTTTTATAGCTGTTAGCCAACAATAAAAGCTCATAAAACTAGAAATGTGTCCATAGGACACTGATGCCCCCACACACCACTGTTCTGTCAATCTTATGACTCTAGGTCAAATATTTTTTGGACTACATGTGCCACAAGTTGAAAACTAAAAATCAACAAAGGGCCATAATTCTGTTAAATTTGGTCGCAGCAAAAATTCCTACCTTTACTACCATCTACACATTAAGGTTGTTAATCCCTGGAAGTTTAAGCAAAATCTGCCATCCAGTTTAAGAGGAGTTGCGTTCACAAAATTTCTACATAGTATATAATGAAAAAAAACAACAAAGGGCCATAATTCTGTTAAATTTGGTTGCAGCGAAAATTCCTTCCTTTACTGCCATCTACACATAAAGGATGTTCATCCTTGGAAGTTTAAGCAAAATCTGCCATCCGGTTTAAGAGGAGTTGCGTTCACAAAATTTCTACATAGTATATAATGAAAAAAAACAACAAAGGGCCATAATTCTGTTAAATTTGGTTGCAGCGAAAATTCCTTCCTTTACTGCCATCTACACATAAAGGTTGTTCATCCTTGGAAGTTAAAGCAAAATCTGCCATCCGGTTTAAGAGGAGTTGCATTCACAAAATTTCTATATAGTATATAGTGAAAAAATCAACAAAGGGCCATAATTCTGTAAAATTTGGTCGCAGCCAAAATTCTCCCTTTACTGCCATCTTCACCTTAAGGTTGTTCATCCTGTAAGTTTAAGCAAAATCTGCCATGCAGTTTAAGAGGAGTTGCGTTCACAAAATTTCTACATAGTATATAGTGAAAAAATCAACAAAGGGCCATAATTCTGTTAAATTTGGTCGCAGCAAAAAATTCCTTCCTCTACTACCATCTACACATTAAGGTTGTTCATCCCTGTAAGTTTAAGCAAAATCTGCCATGCGGTTTAATAGGAGTTGCGTTCACAAAATTTCTTCATAGTATCTAGTGAAAAAATCAACAAAGGGCCATAATTCTGTTAAATTTGGTCGCAGCGAAAATTCCTTCCTTTACTGCCATCTACACATTAAGGTTGTTCATCCCTGTAAGTTTAAGCAAAATCTGCCATCCGGTTTAAGAGGAGTTGCGTTCACAAGATTTCGGGACGTACGGACGGACTGACGGACGGACACTCGGACGGACAAGTGCAACGCTATATGCTCCCACTCTGTGGGGGCATAAAAATCAAGGCAGCAACTTAAATACAAATGTACTCATAAGCACCTCATGCGGTGTTAATGCTCATCCGTCAAAAATTCAAAGTTACAAAGGCCCTGATGCCCCTTGACTAACTACTGCACCTTGTCAAACAAGTTTTCCAAGTTTCGTGGTGATAACTTTTAAAATATTTAAATAATTTGGTATGTTAAAGATTTTGCACAACGAGAATGATGGCGGCCGCTGCGGAGATTGTAATAGTTGTAGATTTTTCTTTGAAACAGACAAGCTTATAGATGAGAGAAAAACAAACCGGATTTTTCCAGTTTGTGAGCGATATCTTCCAGATACAGACGGCTCGACTGCATCATCCTCTCCAGTTCTACAACTCTGTCGTTCAAACGTTTCATACTCTTCCTGTGGGTACGTAAATCTTCTTGTAACATCACCAATCTTGAAAAATATAAGACAGAATTATACATTATCATGTTATAGTTTAATAATGACTTCTCTTCAATATTGTACTGCCCGCATGATTCATTATGAATTTTCTATAGCATATGTTATGACTTTTCAGTAATTTTGTATTTCTCACATGATTCATTATGAACTTTCTATAGCACATGTTATGATTTTTCAGTAATTTCGAATTTCCCACATGATTAAATATGAATTTTCTAAAGCCTACATTTGTATGTTATGACTTTTCAGTAATTTTGTATTTCCCACATGATTCATTATGAATTTTCTATAGCTTATGTTTTGCATTTTCAGATATTTTGTATTTCCCACATGATTCATTATGAATTTTCTATAGCCTAAATTTGTATGTTATGACTTTTCAGATATTTTGTATTTCCCACATGATTCATTATGAATTTTCTATAGCCTATGTTATGACTTTTCTGATATTTTGTATTTCCCACATGATTCATTATGAATTTTCTATAGCCTATGTTATGACTTTTCAGATATTTTGTATTTCCCAAATGATTCATTATGAATTTTTTATAGCCTATGTTATGACTTTTCTGATATTTTGTATTTCCCACATGATTGATTATGAATTTTTTATAGCCTATGTTATGACTTTTCTGATATTTTGTATTTCCCACATGATTGATTATGAATTTTTTATAGCCTATGTTATGACTTTTCTGATATTTTGTATTTCCCACATGATTGATTATGAATTTTCTATAGCCTATGTTATGACTTTTCAGATATTTTGTATTTCCCAAATGATTCATTATGAATTTTTTATAGCCTATGTTATGACTTTTCTGATATTTTGTATTTCCCACATGATTCATTATGAATTTTCTATAGCCTATGTTATGACTTTTCAGATATTTTGTATTTCCCAAATGATTCATTATGAATTTTTTATAGCCTATGTTATGACTTTTCTGATATTTTGTATTTCCCACATGATTCATTATGAATTTTTTATAGCCTATGTTATGACTTTTCTGATATTTTGTATTTCCCACATGATTCATTATGAATTTTATATATCCTATGTTATGACTTTTCAGATATTTTGTATTTCCCAAATGATTCATTATGAATTTTTTATAGCCTATGTTATGACTTTTCTGATATTTTGTATTTCCCACATGATTCATTATGAATTTTTTATAGCCTATGTTATGACTTTTCTGATATTTTGTATTTCCCACATGATTGATTATGAATTTTCTATAGCCTATGTTATGACTTTTCAGATATTTTGTATTTCCCACATGATTCATTATGAATTTTTTATAGCCTATGTTATGACTTTTCTGATATTTTGTATTTCCCACATGATTCATTATGAATTTTCTATAGCCTATGTTATGACTTTTCAGATGTTTTGTATTTCCCAAATGATTCATTATGAATTTTTTATAGCCTATGTTATGACTTTTCTGATATTTTGTACTTCCCACATGATTCATTATGAATTTTATATAGCCTATTTTATGACTTTTCTGATATTTTGTATTTCCCACATGATTCATTATGAATTTTATATAGCCTATTTTAGAATATGAATGGTGAAGATATTATTATGAAAGTGACTTCAAGTTTTGAACGTAAAACAATGAGTATACTTTGTTTTAGAAATGTATTTCAATTTAACATCATGTTTGCCAGATGTGAGAGCATTTTTAGACAGTAGACTGGAATTTCTACAGACTCTATCTATCTTGTTTCAAAAGTGTAAAAACCTATAAACTTATTGACAAATTCTCTAATCTATTCCTGGAAACCAATCAGTACTGGGCAATGGGTGTAAAGTTTCTTGCTAAAGTAAACAATGGCATGCCCCTGACAGGGTTTGAACCAGTGCAGTCAGCAAACCTTTGTTTACTAGTCCGACCTTTTAACCAGAAAAGATTGAAAATCATAATTTAATTTGATTACCAAATATGATTTTCAAACCATTACTAAACAAGTATATACATCTAAATCAAAAAGAAAGTTTCCTCATTAATGAAAATTGATATTTCAAAGATATTACTGACCTAAGTTGAAAATGTACTAAAATTTAAAACACAAAGGCTACAAAACATAAATATCTTTGTATTATGTACAGTAATATTATAGTGATTCTGTGTGCTGAAAAATCAGCAAATTTCAAAAATTTCATTTCAGGAAATATGAGCAAATCCTGGAAAGGTAGAATTTAATGAAGGTTGGATAAGATTAACGCTACAGGAAAGTTAATGAATTTTCATCATTTAACGAAATTCGTCAATATTTCCGCTCGGCTAACTTAACCACTTATACAGTATGCCTTAATTATCTTTTATTCAATTTGCTTCCTTCTTCATGACTGCACATATTTATTTCCAAAAAAATAATTTGTAAAATTCCCTTACATATCGCCTTGTTTAGATTGCATTGCCTCTTTCTCCAATGCAGCCTCTTCAATTGACATATATTCCCTCGCCACTTTCTTCCAGAACATTGTATCGTCAATCTTGCTCTGTAGTCTCAATGTACTCTTACCTCGGTTTGTCATCTTAGACTGTCAATATATACAGAAATACAACTGCAATAACATACAGAAATATACTTGCAATATTACAAACAAGCCAATCTGACTTAAGTTCACATCTACTTAAGTAATATCTTGCAAATAGATCTGGGGCCGTATTCATAAAGGATCTTAAGTTTTAAGGGAAAAATGTCCTTATCTTGAAGAAAACTCCCTAAGGTAAAATTTTCCCTTAACTTTGAAGTCAAAAATCCCTTAAGTGAATTCCTTAGGCAAGAAATTCCTTAACTTAAATTTTATCATAAGGCAAAAATTTCGTTTAATATCAGTTTTTCTATTTGTAATTACCGACTGGAGAGCACTGACTGTGCTAAAAATAGTAACAAAAACAAGATGGCTGACCTAGAGCAGGAAATGCGCGACGTTTCAGACCTTTTCATGGATATTTGTTGTATATCATGGAATTATTCGGACAGTCATCATATGAAGCAGGCAGAGGAAAAAGATTGTGGGTTTAACACTAGTGGCATGGTTTGAGACTGACGTTTTTAAACATTATCAGTTTCATTCGCATGTTGTTCTTGTTTACCTAACTCGCTTCGAAATTTTCCGAAAATACAAAGTGAAAGTAGGGCAAGTGTTTACTATTTTAGTAAAAATTTACCGATAAATTATGCCGATATGAATAAACATACGTAATAGCATGTTTACTAAAGAACCAATGTTTTACTCCTAATTGATTTCTTGACGATACATTTGACAATTATTCTGATCGAGACGGAGTCAATAACTCAAATTATTCGTCCCCTGATCACTTCGTGCACATTTTGCCTGTTTTTGGTAAATTGTTGGAAGTTGATACTTTTTTCTGAAAAAAAAACCATCTTGGTAACAAATTAAGAAGCCGTGTAGCAAGGGGGTTATTGGACGATTGCCAAAGTTTTTAATTTTAAACATCATCAAGTCCAAGGTACATGTAGATCTATGGAAGTGGCTAGCCGTACGGGCCCGTACGGCTAGCCAAAAGTTCTAGCCGTACGTGAGTCACGTACGACTAGCCAGGACTCGCTGCATTGTCTAGCCGTACGGCACTTTTCAAATTTATATAAAAGTCGAAAATACATATGTTATTTCATGACTTTAAGCGAGGATTTTAACCAAGAAATAGTAATTGTCTTCGTATATTTACTTTAAATAGAGATTAATCGCCTTGTTGGCTACAGTAAAAAAAGTACGAATATCGATCTTTATCATCTCAAGACATCGAGAAAAAATAGCGTTAGGTCGCAGTTAAATAACATCAATTGAAATAGTTTACAAAATTTTGATAATAATCCTTTTTTTGTTTCATAAAGTTTAATTTTCGACACTTTTAAAATGAAAAAAAAAGAAAATAATTATTGTTATGCTCTGATATTTGCGTCAATTACCGACGGTATAGAAGTTAATCCATCATTAAGGAAAGTTTGCATGTTCTGTGAAACGCATACATTTTAAAATTCTATTGTCAGTCCCTGGGTAGGCTTTATTTAAGGCTTATTAATTGATTGTGCTTTTATGTTCGATATTTATCTACTGTATTTGAAAATTATACAATTATTTTTGCTTTTCATCTTTCTTTTTTTCAATGTTCTTTTTATTTATTTATTTATTCCACTCCGATCATTATTTATTCGATACATGTGCTTAATTAACAAAAAATCATCTTTCAGTCAAATAAAACAACAAATCATAATCATGAGGCACAAAATAACATATACATGTTCGACTTCTATATAATTTTGAAAAGTGCCGTACGGCTAGACAATGCAGCGAGTCCTGGCTAGTCGTACGTGACTCACGTACGGCTAGAACTTTTGGCTAGCCGTACGGGCCCGTACGGCTAGCCACTTCCTAGATCTATATACATGTACATCATACATGTAGCCCTCCATGTTTAATATTATCTTGTCTCTTAATTTTGTTTATAATTATTTACTTTTTTTTTTGCATAGTTACAAGAACAAAAAGTTAGATATACATATTTAAAATAGGTAAATAATGTTTTAGCAAATACAATATCATTAATTTAATGCTTTAATACAATTTGAATTTACATATACATGTAATAGATAAATTAAATTATGGACCTCAGTATGTTAGCTTATTCTATTTTGACATTTAAGACATAGGTTACTATCATTAATTGCATGGTTTACTGCCCTAGAGAATAAAAACTCAAACAAAAAAAAATTCCTTAAAATCGTAGATTTCATAATTATTATATGATCCCCTTTCGAAATTCCATTTTATTTAGTTCCCCCCATTGTTTTCTCGTTTAGAGCACACAGATTTTTTTACCATGGGACCATATGCCGCTTTTCATGGAATGGCACTTACATGTCACATTGAAGGTTCCATGATGACCGCCATATGAACACATCTGCAGATGTTTCAGCTAGTTTCAAAATTGTACTGCAGTTCATGTTAAATGTTGAATTCCGCTTAAGCCAGTGCTAGGGGGCATGGACAGTGGTTTGCACTTGACAGTACTATCCATGAACAGACTCAATCAAACTGAGCCTGTAACATTTTCAATTGTGTCATGTTGGGCTTTCTTCAGGGATTCTTATTTTATCCATTTTATTTCTGTTAATATATATGCTTTTAATTCAGCTGGTATGTCTGCTTTTAATTTATCATATATAACATAAACAAGCTCATATCAGCTTTGTCTGCTAAATTGATATCAAAAAGACAATAGTATGCTATTCTCTATTGCAAATTTAAGTAATTGATGTTATTTCATTTGGTATTTGATTAAATTAAGATCTGTGACACAAGGGAATAAAATAAATGATGAACAATTGTTTTAGTATGACTGGTCTTAGTTAAATTAACTGAAGGAAAAGGACATAAACATTTGTAGTTTTCATGTTTAAATTGAACTGAATATTACATTGTACATGTAGATTTTTTCGCAAAGCTTCATTTGTAGTTTTGGGCTTTTAAAAGTAGATATTACTTTACAGTAATCTAAAATTTATTTAGCTTTCATTTAATATTGAGAGCACCTGAATTACTGTGCATACCAGCCTTTACACATGATACTGTCTAAACCTGTCATTTTAGTTGTCAGTAAGGGGAACTGAGCAAAAATAACCACCATTGCAAAATGGTTAAAATAATAATTGCTGCTTGCATATGGTTATTATAATCAGATTCCTGTGCTGTAACTTTCTTATTTGATACAAATATCTTTGAAGCCATGAAAACAAAACTGTCAATGTATTTACTATTACAGTGATTGTTTTCCAATTTTAAAAATAACCTGTGGCTTTCTGAAGGGGAAAATATAGTGTGATAAACCAGAAAACAGGGAAATCTGACAACTGAAGAAATGGAATTTATCCACACATTTGATTAAATTTTCAATTTCAATTCAATTTAACATGCATGGTACATAGCAGAGGCTATTTATAGGGACATGTTATTGATATAAGTCTGCCAGGCTACATGTATCTATAGGGACAGCTGTCAGATATAAGTGAGATGCTGTTAAGTCATGGTTCTGGTAAAAAAGTGCACAGGGCATTTATAGGGGGAAATATTATTAACATTTTTAGGGGAAAATATACTTATTTTGGGCTAGGGGAAACAGCCTTTATTCAGCTGTAAAATGTAGGGGGGGGAAGGGGGGGGGGGGAAATCACTGTCATTCAAGTATGCCAGATTCCTTTCACTAGGAACAAATTGACAAAAAGAAGTAAATTAAGTATGCAAGTATGCCCTTATAAGGATCTTACACTATACTGACTGCAATTTCCTGTATACCTATACAATAGCCAATTTATATTTATTAATTTAAACACATAACTTATTTTAATTTACAATTTGCCCTACAACACATAGAAGACTGGAATTTTTGTTTGTTTTACCCATGCCAAACTAATTCTCAAAAACTACTACTGCAATTTCTTTCAAAATTTACAGGAATGATCAGTACCAAGTCTAGTTGTACATATCATTGGTTTTATGGTTCAATAAGTTTTGTTGGAGTTATGGCCCTGTAATTATATTTTATTTTTTAAAGTTTGTCCGGACTACTCCTATTATACCACTAATGCAATTTCCAAGAAACATTACAGGATTGATTGATAGGTCAAGTACTTGCACAAATTACACAGGTTTTCCGCTTGAATGATTTTTGGCCAAGTTATGGCCCCTGTTGAATGAAAAGGATGTTAATAAAGTTTGTCAGGACGACTGATCTTAAACCGTTTCTGCAATTTCAATGAAACTTTACAGGATTTATTGGTAGGTCAAGTACTTGTGCATAAAGTGATAATACACAAAATTTTCACTTCTATGATTTTCAGCTGAGTAATTGCCCTTGAATAAAACAAGTGTTTTGCCCCGTTCATGATTTTTGGGTCTCCTGCTACACAGTAGCTGCAACATGTGATTGGCTATCATGAGGTGACACATGTTACACTGATGGCCCTAAATGTTATTAGCTTAGAAAATATTCCACAAAAAACCTGACCAAAGTGGCTACTGCTTTAGTGTTAATGAATGAATTTTCATACATGGAATAACATTCTGTGGATTGTTCTTTTAAGATGGCCTGACCTTGAGTAACAAATGACCTTGTCCTTTAAGGTCAAATAACTGAATTTTGCTCTCTTCTTTCTGTAACTGGCTACAAATTTTGTATTAATGAATTGTCTTCATATTTAGACTGAATAACCATTAATGAAGATCAAATTATCTTTGACCTTGACTTTTAAATGACCTTAGCCTTAAAGATGCAATTACTGAATTTGTTAATTGTTTTTGCTTTGAATGGCGATTAAACTTTGCAATGAGTATATGGAAATTATTAAAATTACAATGCATCTGTGTGTCAAGTTTCATAACTCTGACTATTTGTCTTTTTTAACTTAGAAAATATCACAAAAATGTACCAAAGTGGCTAAAATTTAATTATTCATGAATGAATTGTCCTTGTAGATAGACCTTCAAGATGATGAAACTTACATTGATCTTAATTAAGTCATAAATGACCTTGACTTTCAAGGTCAAATAATAATTGATTTTTTTTTGTGATGTAACCGACCGTCCCCATCTCAGGAACCAGTAGCAATATTTACTTGAACTTGAAATATCCATGCAATATCACAAAGAAACCTTTATCTTTAATGGTGGATAAGAATATAAATCAGTGTGAAAGTTTATAACTTTATTTTACAAAATATATTGAATTCAGGATGAAAGTTTATTTCATGAAGAATGAGTTCATGGATTTATAAAAGTGATAAAAACATAAAGAGTCTTCCAAGATTATCACTGATGTAATAAGTATTCACACTTCCAAAGATTATAACTTAGTTATGTTGTCACTTAGTATTTACACTTTTCAAGATCTTCAATAGATCACTTCTGTCTGTAATTGCAATCACACTTTTTCAAATGATGTCACTTTTTCACTATTGCAAGGATATCAATACCATATGTTAGTATGTTGTTTTTTTGTTGTTTTTTTTTTTCAAATTGTCAACAAATGTCATTGATTTCACATTTATAATGAGTATGACGTTTCATTAACTAAGTCAATGGCCAATAAAAAAATTCTGTTTTGTTGTTTATTCCTTCTGTTAATGAGAGTTTCCAAACCAATCTTCAATATCTTGAGTATGCTGAAAAAAAAGCAAATGTATTTTAATACTTAATTAATGTTAATTTAAACACAAAAAAAAAGTTTAAAAATCAGAAACTGAAGTTGTGAAATAAAATGCAAATGACTTTTTTGTGCTGAATACTAAGTAAGAACAAAAGTATTTTATCATTTGCAAGTACAAACCACCTGACAATGATCAATGTCAAACAGAACCAAAGGCAATATTTCAGAATAAGAAACAGAACACAATTATCACTTATGTTAGAATATATACAATGTAGGTATTAGTGTAAATATCTAGGTTGCTCAAAATCCTATCCTAAACAGTTCCCATCAAGCTAAATATTCCTGTCTGTACTAGGGCTGTCATTGATGGAAAATTTTGTATTGATATATCAAGAGACAAATATTGAAAAAAATATCAACTTTGAAAACATTACTAGAACTCCGCGAGTCGGATGTGTCGCCTTGTGAACAATGTAGTTTAGGGGAAATGGCCAGGACAAAAATGAAATATGAAAAATAACAAAGGGCAATAACTAAAAAAATAATAAGTGCAGAGCAGCAGTTTCTGTACACTGCACTTCTTATCAATAAGATCTATCATTCTATGATGTTTCAAGTCCATAGCTTTCATACTTGAGGAAAAATGACCAGGACAAAAATAAAGTAAGAAAAGCAACAAAGGGCAATAACTCAAAAATAAGAAATGCTGAGTATCAGTTCTTATGCACTGCACTTCTTTTTAATGAAATCTATCATCCTATGAAGTTTCAAGTCCATAATTTTTATACTTTCAGAGAAATGGCTTGGACAAATATTAAGTATGAAAATAAACAAAGGGCAATAACTCAAAAAGTAAGAAATGCAGAGTACCAGTTCTTGTGCACTGCACTTCTTCTTAATGAGACCTATCATCCTATGAAGTTTCAAGTCCATGGCTTTTATACATTAGGAGAAATGGCCCGGACAAAAATAAAGTATGAAAAATTAACAAAGGGCAATAACTCAAAAATTAGGAAGTGCAGAGTACTGGTTCTTTGTGCACTGCATTTCTTCTTAATGAGATCTATCATCCTGTGAAGTTTCAAGTCCATAGCTTTTTTAGTTGAAGAGAAATGGCCCGGACAAAATTAAAGTATGAAAATTAACAAAGGGCAATAACTCAAAAAATAAGAACTGCAGAGTACCGGTCCTTGTGCACTGCACTTCGGGTTATTGAAAGAAGCATGCATACCAAGTTTGAAGTCAATCAGACTTATAGTGACTGAGTTATGCTCCGGACAAGCTTTAGCGGACGCCGACGCCGACACCGACAACGACGCCGACACAGACGCCGCCGCCGCCGACACCGCCGACAAAAGTAACCCCTATATGTCACCTTTTCAAGGCGACACAAAAATATGCACTATGAATTGGGACCATGGTGTTTTGCATGCTTGTATTAGACATTGCAAATACTACACACTAACAGAAAGTTTTTTCTGTAATTTTTGTCACCGACATTTAACAAAAAGTTAGCCAAGAAAACTTGAAAAAAGTGACGTCTCTTATTAGGCAAAATAGAGAGATATATACCGGTAAATAAATTTTAGCTTTTATTGATATTTGAAAGTGTGTATCGAAATTGTATTGGATGATATAGCGATATTTAATGACAGCCCTAGTCTGTACTAGTAGTCGGTGAAAGATTTTTATTTTAACTAGAAATGTGTCCATAGGACACGGGTGCCCCCAACGCGCCACTGTTCTGTCAATCTTATGACTCTAGGTCAAATATTTTTTGAAAACTAAAAATCTTTTGCAAGAACTTTACAAATACTGAATAAATTCACAAGCAAACCCCTAGGTACATAAGTATACATGCTGACCAACATTCTTGTAAATTTTCAGGCCAACAAGTGAAATACTTTTTGAGCTATGCATGAACAAGTTGAAAATTGCAAATTTATACAACTGTAAGTCAAGGGCAATAACTCTTAACAAAACTGGAAAAAAATCCACATGCATAGCTTCACAGTGATGTGAATTATTATTCCTGTAATTTAGTGATGTTGATCATTATTCCTGTAAAGTTGGTTGATTCTAACTCAAGCACTCAAGGAACAAATAACAACATAATGAAACGGTTTTTACTATGTCAAGGGAAATAACTCTACAAATACTAAATAAATCCCCAGGTGCAAAACTAAATATGCTGAGCAACCTTCCCGTAAGGTTTAATGACTCTATGTCAAATCCTTTTTGAGTTACATGCACAGTCCCTTGAAATTCGAGTTACTGAGAGTCAACTGTATTGTAAATAAATATTGTAACATCTGAAATTTTGGCTGCATGCGGGGCCATCCGTGGCGTGACGACACATTTCTAGTTTATTTTCTTTTTATTAACTTAAATATTTTATACTAATTTCAATTAAAGTGAAAGTGATATAACTAATTAAATGATCATTCTATTGAAATGTTTGAACCTTCTTTGATATATATATTAAGTAAAATACATGTACAATGTATATAATGACAGTACCTTGCTTAGTGGTTTGAAAGCAAAACAATAATACAAATGTAACTGGCAACACATAGCATGTGATACCGGTAAGTTTACTTAATTTGTTAGTTACATGTAGGTAAATACAAATTGTTCTTTTTTTAGCTCGACTTTTTTTTTTGAAATAAAAAGTAGAGGTATTGCTATAGTCGCGACGGCGTTGCCATTCCCGTCCGCAAACTTGTGCCTGGATCATAACTTTTCTTGGTGTATTGTCTTCATACTTGGCCACAGCAACCCTTGGGACAAGACCTTTCAGTAGACTACACTAACCTTGACCTTCATCCATAAATGACCTTGACCTTGAAGGTTAAATTACTGAATTTTCTCAAATTTGTGCATTAAATGACCACGTGTCACAACCATGTGACACCACATGTGCTACCACCATGTGACACCATGTGTCACCACCACGTGTCACCACCACCACATGTCACCGCCGCCACGTGACACCACATGTCACCAACACGACGTGTCACCACTAGGGCCCTCACGATAACAAGTTTAAACGGATTCGTTTCGATGTTCATTCATAAACGTTTAAAATATTGTTTAATCGAAAATGACCATATTGTCTTACAAAATTTCTTAATCATTGCCTGTGATCATTGATTTTATCAATTCTAGTGGTTTATTCCAATGTAAACAAACGGAAAATGGGTGTTTACAACCCTCCACACAGCATTGCCATGCAAAATTGCTGGTGACATAATACATTTTTGGTAAAAATGGGGTAATAATGCAAAAAATGTGTGCTGACTCAATTGTGATGCGAGCGTTGCCCCCGCCAGGCGGTCAGGCTCTTGTTATTTATTACAATAAGTGGATAAAAAATTTATGTAGATTTCATTCATTCATTCATTTCTAGTCATTTTATGTTTACTTATTTATTTATTTATGTATATTTTTATCTTTCATACAATATTATTTATTTTACATACAATATTATTCAGTCACTTAATTTAAAAGTTATTAATAAAATAATATTAAAAATAATGAAAAAAAATTGGATGAGGGGTGAAGTGCCCTACTGAATTGGGGGGGGGGGGGAATTGTCTTGAGGGTTGAAGTGTCTTGGGGTGAAGTGTCTTGCTACCCTTCAGACAATAAAGCTCTATTTTAAACAGTAAATATAACCCTAGTCGCTAGTTGCATCATGTCACATTACTACTTTTAAATCTTATATTAATATTATGCTTAAATCCCTTTTATCTGAGTGTATACTAAAGAAATACATATCAACTTACATCTACTTACCGTAAGTTTTTAGAAGAACAAGTCCTGAATCCAGGTGAATGATTTGTACCCATCTTTTTCTTGAGTGTATATTTGTAAATTGGAGGTTTTTAACTGTTTTGAAACCTCATCAGCAGTGTATTGAATATAAATCTTCAATTTTCTTCCATATTCTCTTATTATTACTTGATTGCATTAATTATAATGTTGATTTTTGTAGATGTCAAACCGTATCCGAAATATCAGTCCGAGCACTATTATACTTCTAGCTCTCCGATTAATCGCATGCTCCCAACATCAATGTAAGGATTGGGCTATCCAGGATAAAACTATTTCTTCTGTCAGACAATAAAAAGTCAGTTCCGCATTCGTAACATAACTACTTCATACAATAAAGCATTTATTTAAGTTGTAAAAATATTCAGAAAATTGCCTCCACTAGCACGGAAGTTGCCGGTTGTTTCTAGATACGGCTAATATACGTACGAATGATTTTCATCGGATAGGCCTATTATGATTGAAACTGCGTTGATTCCAAAATGGAAAGTAGCTGGATTTGTTATTTGAGAAAGGGAATGAACAAATCGTCTCCTAGTCGGCCATTTTATTTCTTCATTTTTATCCCTTAACCTTTTCCCTTAAAAGTTAAGGGAGCTCATGGGGTACCTTAATATTTAAGGGAAAAATCGACCAAAGTTAAGGAATTTTTATCCTAAGGAGTTTTATGAATAGAAACTAAGGAAATTCTTAAAAACTAAGGGAAATCTTACGTTTTTTAAGGGAAATCTTAGAATCTAAGGGAAATTTTTCCCTTAGGAGCTTTATGAATACGGCCCCTGATTGCCACCAAATTCGCTGAACCTTCATTGTAATTCAGATTTCCCTGAGGAAAGCTATTTTAACTAGGCAACCAAAAAGTCTTTTATTGTTTGGCACTACACAAACCAATAAAATATTGTAGTCCATGGGATAAAACAAATTGTAGATTGGAAAAAAATTGACTCAATTTTTCATGGACAAGCTAATTTACCTGCTGCCTATATTGACAAACACAATATTTGTTCTCAAAATCACAAGAATTACCTACTTAGTATTGGTTTTTCAGAGGTTAAACTTAGAAACCACAGCACTTTCAAAATTGAGATAGCTCGCTCGCAGATGTTTGACTGTTTGAAAGGTCACAAGAATGTGACAACCTTTTGGTGGTCATCAGATCCTTATGCATATCCTTTTTGAATCTGATTGATAAAACATGCTAAGCACAAGAGGGAGAGCAACATATTTGTAATCAATCAGTTGGTGATTAAAAAACAACATGTAGAATTTGTAGCTGGTTACTTTTGGTAATAATTTGTATTTACTCTTTGGTTGTCCAGGAAATCGAGATAGGTAACCAACCACAGAGATACATGTATGATGAAATTAATGGTTTTAATTTAAATAAAAAAAAAGACTTGACTTTAAGTGGAAATCATACTAAACTGGATCAAACTTGTACTACATTCTGATTAAATAATGTCATTTACTAATGATTTCTTTGTTTTTGGTTGGGTTTTAAGGGCACAAGCACAGGAGAGGTCATATGGTGACTTTCCAGCTTGACAAGAGGGTGTCATCTGAGTAGAATCACAAACATTATGGAAGCTTGTTAGATAACTGAGGGATTCAAACTGACAGCAGTGAGCGGCACATAATTTGGAGTTAATTATCATATATATTTCCATACTTCAATGGACTTTGGTGATCTGTTATAGGGTTTTGTGTATTTTAACACCTCACAGTCATGTACGACTAAAATAAAGCTTTTTATAATATAGTCAGCATTGTACTTAAGTCCACCTTTATTAAGCGACTTTATTCCCTCCTGATGATTTTTACTATATAAGTTAATTCCATTAAACAACATTTTTATATTGCAGCCAGCCTCAACTAAATGTCTGCCAAAATATACGAAATTAGTTGTTAAAGTATCTATTAAACGACCGTCACAAATAATTGTCGTTTAAAAACAAATTGAATAACAATTGCAATCGTTTCAAAATCAGAAAGAAAGAAACAGTTTTCCGATCATAATATTTATTGTGACATATTTTGCCAGAGCAATAACATATCACAACACCACATTTGCACAGTTTTGTCATGTGCTCAGAGTGATCTCCCTTCCAGAAAATAAAAACCTTATTGAATTTGAAATCGGGTAGTGTAAAAACTAATTGCTGAAAAAATCAAGAAGTTTAAAACTCATTGCATGAAAAATTATCTTGAGCTCTGGCTGATGATTTGAAAGTATGTTCAGCAAGAGATATGTATGAACATATTAACAATATAAGACAATATGCTTTGTTTCATGGTCAAAATGACCTGTTGAAAGTATTATGAACGTAGATCACATTTGTACACAAATTTTTACTAAAAAACAAAAACAAACACATATTGATGACTTTTTTTAAAAAAAAGCATAAATGTGATTATGAAAATGTAATACATACATAATATTGTACAGTTTTTGTTTTATAAAAACAAACGGTATTATATCTATGACTTGTAACATAAAAAAGTCTCGAATTTTCCAGAATTCTATCGAGAGACCACTTTATTAAGCGACGACTTTTTGGCAGTCCTTTGAGTAGTCTCTTAATACAATGTCAACTGTACTTGTAAATGAAATACTAAGAATCGGAGAGATTCAAACTGACAGCAGTGAGCGGCACATGATTTGGAGTTAATTATCAATTATATTTCCTTTGTTGACCTGTTTATAAGGTTTTGTGTATTGTAACAGCTCACATGTACTACATAAATAAAGCTTTTTATAATATACAGTCGGCATCTTACTTGCGTCCACCTTTATTAAGCAACTAATTTCCCTCCTGATGATTTTTACTATATAAGTTAATTCCACTAAACAATGTTTTTATATTGCGGCCAGCGGCCACAAAATGTTGGCCAAAATATACGAAATTAGGTGTCAAAGTATCTATTAAAAGACTGTCACAAATAATTGTCGTTTAAAAATGAATAACAATTGCAATCGTTTCAAAATCAGAAAGAAAGAAACAGTTTTCCGATCATAATATTTATTGTGACATATTTTGCCAGAGCAATAACGTATCACAACACCGCATTTGCACAGTTTTGTCATGTGCTCAGAGTGACCTCCCTTTCGAAAAAATAAAAACCTTATTGAACTTGAAATCAGGTAGTGTAAAAACTAATTGCTGAAAAAATCAAGAATTTTAAAACTCATTGCATGAAAAATTATCTGGAGCTCTGGCTGATGATTTGAAAGTATGTTCAGCAGGAGATGTGTATGAACATATTAACAATATAAGACAATATGCTTTGTTTCATGGTCAAAATGACCTGTTGATAGTATTATGAACGTAGACCACATCTTAAACAAATTTTTACTATAAAACAAAAACAAACACATATTGATGACTTTTTTTTAAAAGGCATAAATGTAATTATGAAACTGTAATACATACATAATATTGTACAGTTTTTGTTTTTATAAAAAGACGGTATTATATCTATGACTTGTAATATAAAAAAGTCTCGAATTTTCCAGAATTCTATTGAGAGACCAATTTATTAAGAGACGACTTTTTGGCAGTCCCTTGCGTGGTCTCTTAATACAATGTTGACTGTACTTGTAAATGAAATACAAAGAAATATTGATGAACAAAATGTGTAATTTAACTTTCCGTAGTTGCACTGTATAAATTTATTTTTCACTGCAGTGAAATATATTTTCTGTATTTTCACTGGTATGTTGCTTGACTACTTTTTTTTAAATTAAGCCAATACTCAAAATTAAAGGGGAAGTCTTTTGAATTGTAAGGTAAAAAAAGAGAACCATGATGGCCCTGAAGTCGCTCACCTGTATATAGGCCCCCGGAGCGAGGCCAGTTTAAACCCCAGGGCTTTTATTTGAACTTGGTAGACACCCATTAGAAGATGTTTCATGCTTAATATCTAAACTCTAGCTATTCGGGTTTTTTCAAAGAAGATTTTTAAGTTTTTGCTATACACATATAAGGAAAATCAATGTCACCGAACGGGGCCAATTTTGACCCCAGGGCTTTTATTTGAACAAACTTTGTAGACATCCATTAGAACATGTTTCATGCTAAATATCTTAGCTCTGGCTCTTTGGGTTCTTTAAAAGAAGGTTTTTTTAAGTTTTTACTATATGCATATAGGGAAAATCAATGACCCCCTGGGGCGGGGCCAATTTTGACCCCAGGGCTTTTATTTGAACAAACTTGGTAGACATTCATTAGAAGATGTTTCATGCTAAATATCTCAGCTCTAGGTCTTTGGGTTCTTTAAGAGAAGATTTTTTAAGTTTTTACTATATGCATATAGGGAAAATCAATGAACCCCGGGGCAGGGCCAATTTTGACCCCAGTGCTTTTATTTGAACAATCTTGGTAGACACCCATTAGAGGATGTTTCATGCTAAATATCTTAGCTCTAGCTCTTTGGGTTCTTTAAAAGAAGATTTTTTAAGTTTTTACTATATGCATATTGGGGAAATCAATGACCCCCTGGGGCGGGACCAATTTTGATCCCAGGGCTTTCATTTGAACAAACTTGGTAGACACCCATTAGAGGATGTTTCATGCTAAATATCTTAGCTATAGGTCTTTGGGTTCTTTTAAAGAAGATTTTTTAAGGTTTTACTATATGCATATAGGGAAAATCAATGACCCCCTGGGGCAGGGCCAATTTTGACCCCAGGGCTTTTATTTGAGCAAACTTGGTAGACACTCACTAGAAGATGTTTCATGCTAATTATCTAAGCTCTAGCTCTTTGGATTTGTTAGAAGAAGATATTTAAAGTTTTTTCTTTTGGTTGCCATGGCAACCAGTTCTGCATGGAATTAAATTCTTTGAACAATTTTCAAAGGTGACCACCAAAGGAACATTCATGTGAAGTTTGGATGAAATTGGCTTAGTGGTTTATGAGATGTCATTTAAAGTAAAAATTTACGGATGACGGACGGACGCCGGACGAAAAGCGCCCTGTCACTTTGTGACAGGTGAGCTAAAAAGAGAAAAAAGTATATAATAAACAGAAAATTCAAGTTTTTTTTCTACAAATCCTGGACTTATTTCATCCTGTGGTATGAAAATTATCATATTTCACTTGTGACTTCTGCCACTAATGAAATATCTATTTTCATATCACATGAAATTTGTCCCTTATTTACAGAAAAAAATTGAATATCCCCTTTATCTTACCTTTCCCTTTGAGCAACAAGTACTCTTTCGTTGACACGTCTTCAACTTGTTATATATTGCTTTCAGAAACAGATAGAGGAAACTAAATACTGTAAATGGTGGAGGTAGACTAAATCTCTCGATGAAATCAGCTATAAGAGCGTATCTCTGAAACTTCCACACTTCACTCGCCACCTTATCAACTTTCCCTATTGTCAGTCTGGTGAAACAAATAACACAATTGATAAACATATTGGCAACAAATGTAGGTAGGTCAAATTTGAAGAGATATGGTATGAATATGTATGAAGGAATTTTAAAGGGGCCTCAACTGAGAGACTGGAATCTTTTTTTTCTGAGATATATGTTCCTTTTGATGTACTCAAAGACCAACTTGTGTGCAAAATTTCAGATCATTCACTCACTCAATTCCAAAATTATAAAAATATTCTTATTATTTTCTAGTATCTTTTGCAAATTTGTCAGTTTTAACAACTCAAGCAGATCTATGTAAGAAATTCAAAGTTTATGTTTTAAGGTTTTTGGACCTTAGTAGAGTTTCTTTAAAGAAGGATGTAACATTCAGGATGCTGGATTACAATTTATTTCTTCTTTTTTTTCAAATACAAAGAGTTCTTTCATTACAAAGATAACTTTGAGGAATTAATGTTGAAATATCAAGAATAAGAACTTTCAAATGTGCCAATATGAATAAAGGATAAACATATTTTGCTGCTACTAGTAAAAATCCTATTAACATTTTCAAGAAGTACAGGCATGTGTATAATATAATTATTTCTTTTTTTTTCCAAATGGATTTTACATCACACCAACACAGTATAGGTCATATGGCGACTTTCCAGCTTTATTGGTGGACAAAGACCTCAGGTGCCCTCTTGTACATTATTTTAGGCATGATAATTTATAATGAAACAAATAACATATAAAGGCAACAACAAATAGACACAAAATTTTGACAGATAAATTATATTTATACTTTCTTTGACATTTGGCATCCTATATAAAGATCTTACTTCCTAATGGGGATTAACAGCGTGAGATTTTAAAAAAAAAACATCTTTTTAAAAGGCAACTACAATAACAATATCAAAAGGAACAATCTATGAGTATATCAGAGCTGGGACGAGAAAAACAGTAAATATAATACTTACGCAAACATAGCAAATAGAAGTGTAACCAGCACAAGTTTACAGATGAGTAAATATTGTAGTGTGATGACATAAGCTGAAAATGTGGACACAGGGCACTTTTGTAAGTCCTTTATCTGCTGTGCTGTAAGAAAAAGTAGTACACAGATAAAATATACATATACAGTAGAACTTCGGTAAGTCGAAGTTGAAGGGACTTGCGTAAAAAAATCGACACATCGGGAATTCTACTCATGAATAGGTCTCAATTTGATGACAAATTAAGAGCCGTTCATGTATACAAGCAAGTTACAAAAGGCATAAAACAAAAGGAAATGGAGATAACTAACCCAGCTTATAGTAAATATATCCCAGTGTGATTATCATGCGACACCGGGTCACGGAAGTTCTCAAATGAAAGTAGTTCTTCTCGTTTACTTTCAAATACCACTACAGCAATTTAAATGGTAACAATTAAAGCACTTTATCACACATTAAAACGCAAATAAAGGCTGTTAGAAAACATGGCTATGTAATTAACACCTGTAACACAAGTTGATCAGAAATCATCTTCGTGCCTAGAAAAGTTCGACACATCGAAAAATTCGACACATAAAATTTTGTCTCATATAAAGGTTTTTATAAGGAATATATAGGGGAAAAAATCGAGACTTCCATTTTACTTAGACAAATTGAGAAAATCAACTAAACAAAGTTCGACTCATAGAAGTTCTACTGTACTTAGAAATGACAAAAGCATTTTTCTGACAACATTAACACTAGTCTTTATGGTTGAAAGTACATCAATAGAAAATACAAAACAAACTTCCCAATGTTTTTACTTACATTGATGTGTGTAGATAGCGCCGCTGTAGTAAGTTGCTGAAAAAGAGATAAACAACAATCTATAAGCAAGAGTAACGAAGACAGTAATGTTAATATCATAATAGTATTGTAATAAAGTGGTCTGCTGGCAAGTGCTTCCATACAATTATCTGAATTGGAATACATTGATGACATGTTGTTATGTTACTCTATCTAGTTACTTTTAATGCTCTTTTAATTGTGCATGTATTTCATAAACAGACTCAATATAACCTAGTCTGCAAGACACCAATTGACAGTTCTCGAAACTAGCAGACGACAGGCTATTGTTATCAGTAGAATTACGAGAAAAGATAACCAGTTATGTACCTAACTGTATAAAACATATGTAAAATTGTCTGACTTGTGGCCTGTTTAACCGTCAATTTAAATACTTTTAGTGTCAAAAAATGTGTTGAAATATATTCTGAGATATTGATTTTACTCAAAGATAAGAGAAACAACTCGTTTTTCACTCGATATACTGCTGTTATTTACGTAGTTTATATAGAGACTGTCAATGGGTGTATTTCAAAAAAGACCTCAAGATGATAAGCGTTTAAACTCTTTCAATAAAATTTGGCCAAAAATCGCGAAAAAGAAAATTAATTTTGATATATATTCATCCTCTGCAGACTTTTCCATTTTAAGTGCCTCGGTAAGAATTTCAATTTATGGTTATAAGATGAGACCCCTTAGGAGCTCCTTTGATATTTCTAACTGCCCTCCAAATGATTTTTTTTTCCATCAAGCTCCTTTAATATTTAGAAATGCCCTCCACATGTTTATTTTTTTTTCATCCAGCTCCTTTAGTATTTAAAATTGCAACAAGAAACATGGCAATGCCATGAAACCAGGTTTTCAATTATCACCATTGTAGATGAATATGTTGCATTTGAAATACAAATACAAGAAACAAACAATGTAACTTTGTGCAATGTAAAACATGAATAATGTAGGAGGAATTGCCACAGAGGAAGTGTTCTTCTGTATAAGGAAAAAAAACAAAGGGCCATAATTAAATAAAACAAGAGCTGTCCGTAAGACAGCGCGCTCGACTTTTTTAGTGCTTGCCTATAATACAAAACATTGACAGTTAAGGGCCATAATTCAAATAAAATCTTTGACAGAATTACCTTCTCCTGGACATGTTTGGGAATCATGATTGTAAACAAGTATTCCAACTTTCAAATTAATATCTCAAACAGTTCAGTCAAAAAGTGGACTGGTACTAAAAACTTAACCAAGATTCTAAGTCGATAAAAGGCCTTAATTTTTAAAACAAATCCTTGACAGAGTTACCTTCTCTTGCGTACAGATGGGGGTAATGATGTGAAATAGCATTAAAAGTTTCAAAGCAATATCTCAAAGGTTAAGGCAATAAGTGGATTTTACCCATATTCAATGTATTTTCTAAGTCAAAAAGGGGCATAATTCTGTCAAAAACCTTGACAGAGTTATGTCCTCTTGTCTGTTGATGAAGGTCGTGATGGTAAACAAGTATGGTCAGTTTCAAAGCAATACCTCCAATGGTTTTGAAATAAAGTGAGGTGGTACAAAAAACTTAACCAAGCTCAATACACTTTCTAAGTCAAAAAAGGGCCATAATTCTGTCAAAAACCTTGACAGAGTTATGTACTCTTGTCTGTAGATGGAGGTTATGATGGTGAACAAGTATGGTAAGTTTCAAAGCCATACTTGTAATACTTCTGAAATAAAGTGGGGTGGTACGAAAAACTTAACCAAGGTGTGACGCCAACGCCGACGCCGGGGCGAGTAGGATAGCTCCCCTTTTCATAGAAAAGTCGAGCTAAAAATTATTCAAACACAAAACCTCGACAATGTGCCCCAGGGCACTGGATGACAAAGCTACTGTGAAAGTTTGAACAAAATCCGTTGAGAAATGTAGGAGTTCAGCACAGAAGAATTTTTTCACTATATATTCTGTATAAGGAAAATTAACAAAGGGCCATAATTAGGTCAAATATTATCCAATCACAAAACCCCAATAATGTGTGCCAGGGCACTTGATAACAAAGCTTCTGTGAAAGTTTGGTCAAAATCTGTTGAGAAATGTAGGAGAAGTTGCGCATAGTAAAAATTGTTCACTTTAAAATCTGTATAAGGAAAAACAAGATTGCATTTGAGAAAAATGCTATGCCACCGCATGGTTCAAATTTCATAGCTGTACATCAAAGGACACGAAAGTAGGTCACATCATCAAAATCTAGGTCACCTGATATCAAAGTTCAATTTTACAACTTAAACTGTGCACATGGTCAAAATGTCATTGCTGTACATCAAAGGACAAGAAAGTAGGTCACTGTCCCCTTGGGCAAGGCATAATTTTGACCCAAGGGTTTAATTCAAAACAATTTTGATACAGGTCCACCAAACAACATTTCAAGTCAAATATCTAAGCTATAGCTTTCTCCCATTCAGAAAACATTTGTTTTATTTTCTGTTTTTACTTTGTGTACATAATGAGAATCACTGCCCCCGGGCATGGCTAATTTTGACACCAGGGGGCAATTTTGAACAACTTTGGTAGAGGACCTATAAATGATATTATATATCAAACATCAAAGCTCTATGCCTTGAACCTTCAGACAAAAATATTTTTTATTTTTTCACTATATGTACATAATGAAAATCAATGACCCCCGGGGCGGAACCAATTTTGGCCCCAGGGCTATAATTTGAACAATCTTGCAAGAGGTTCACTACACAATGTTTCATGCAAAATATCTTAACTCTAGCCTTTGTAAATTTAGAGAAGATGATTTTTTAAGTTTTTACTATATACATATAAGGAAAACCTATGGCCACCGGGGGCGGGGCTAATTTTGACACAAGAGGCAAAATTTGAATAACTTTTGTAGAGTACCTTTAGATGATATTATTTAACAAATATTAAAGCTCTAAGCCTTGTACCTTCAGACAATAAGATTTATTTATTTTTTACTATATAAAATATTGAAATCAATGACCCCAAGGGTGGGGGCAATTTTGACCCAAGGGCTATAATTTGAACAATCTTGCTAGAGGTTTACTACACAATGTTTCATGCAAAATATCTAACCTCTAGCATTTGTCAATTGCTAGAAGAATTTTTTTTGAAGTTTTTACTATAAGTTTTACTATATACATATAAGGAAAACCAATGACCCCCGGGGCGGGGCCGATTTTGACCCCAGAGCTATAATTTGAACAATCTGGGTAGAGGTCTGCCAGACAATGCCTTATGCAAAATATATAATCTAGGCCTTTTGGGTCTTTACAAGAAGGTGTTTTAAGTTTTTACTATATGTACATATAGTGAAAATCAATGACCCCGGGGCGGGGCCGATTTTGACCCAAGGGCTATAATTTGAACAATCTTGGTAAGGGTCTACCAGACGATGCCTTATGCAAAATATCTAAGCTCTAGGCCTTTTGGGTTTTTACAAGAAGGTATTTTAAGTTTTTACTATATGTACATAGTGAAAATCAATGACCCCCGGGGCGGGGCCAATTTTGACCCCAGGGCTATAATTTGTACAATCTTGTTAGAGGTCTACCAGACATTGCCTTATGCAAAATATCTAAGCTCTAGGCCTTTTGGGTCTTTACAAGAATATTTTTTAAATTTATTCTTATAATTCCTTTTGGTTGCCATGGCAACCAGATTTCTGCATGGAATGAAATTCTTTGAACAACTTTGGAAGCCCTTCACCCAAGGAACAATCCTGCCAAGTTTGGTTGAAATTGGACTAGTGGTTTTTCACAAGAAGATTTTTTAAGTTCACTATATAATCTATATAACACACACACAAACACACACACAAACACACACACACACAGGTGAATCGCTATATGCCACCGCATCGCAGATGCTGCGGTGGCATAAAAACAAAGGGCCATAATTAGGTCAAATATTAAACAATCACAAAACCCTGACAATATGCTCTAAGGCACTTGATGACAAAGCCTCTGTGAAAGTTTGGTCAAATTCCGTTGAAAAATGTAGTAGGAGTTGCGCACAGAAAATTGTTCACTATATATCCTATATTGGGAAAAAAAACAAAGGGCCATAATTAGGTCAAATATTATCTAATCACAAAACCATGACAATATGCCCCAGGGCACTTGATGACAAAGCCTCTGTGAAAGTTTGGTCAAAATCCATTGAGAAATGTAGGAACAGTTGGGCACAGAAGAAATTATTCACTATATATTCTATATAAGGAAAAAAAACAAAGGGCCATAATTAGGTCAAATATTATCCAATCACAAAACCCCGACAATATGCGCCAGGTCACTTGATGACAAAGCTTCTGTGAAAGTTTGGTCAAAATCTGTTGAAAATTGTAGGAGGAGTTGCGCACAGAAGAAATTGTTTACGCCCGCCCGCACGCCCACCCGCCCGTCCGCCCATCCGCCCGCCGACATACCTCAATCTAATAACCAGTTTTTTCCTTCGGAAAACCTGGTTAACAAAAAAAGGCTTACGTGCATGGCAATATCCTGTGGTATTCTCGTACTCAAAGGAACAGCTTGGATCACCTAAAAGACAAATATCAAAACATTCTTTTTCCAATCACAAAAAATAATTCTATTATAACATGATGTAAATATAAATTTTCAGTAAGCTATCTTATTTCATAAATGTCTCTATCTTACACTTGCTTAACATTTGGCATCAATTTCTGCTACAGTAATGACCTTGATAATGACGTTCAAAATTTCTGAAAAACGTCTTCTTCTAAGGACTTAGTTTACGGGTATGAAGGGTCATCACATGAAACCAAAACAGAACTCCTTTACTCAATATACTTTCACACTTTTTATACAGGTGGCCAGTTCATGACTTCAATCGTTCAGCAGGAGCAACAACAAATTGTTCTTTTTTGCAGATGAAGTAGCAAAGAATTTATCTAATTTCAGATAAAGAGCAAAGAATTGATGTAATTTCAGATGAAATTAAACAGAACTGATCTAATTTCTGTTAAAAGAGCAAAGAATTGATCTAATTTCTGTTAAAAGAGCAAAGACTTGATGTAATTTCAGATGAAGTTAAACAGAACAGATCTACTTTCTGTTAAAAGAGCAAAAAATGATCTAATTTCTGTTAAAAGAGCAAAGAATTGATGTAATTTCAGATGAAGTTAAACATAAACTGATCTAACTTCTGTTAAAAGAGCAAAGAATTGATGTAATTTCACGTGAAGTAGCAAAGAATTGATGTAATTTCAGATGAAGTTAAACAGAACTGATCTAACTTCTGTTAAAAGAGCAAAGAATTGATGTAATTTCACGTGAAGTAGCAAAGAATTGATGTAATTTCAGATGAAGTTAAACAGAACTGATCTAACTTCTGTTAAAAGAGCAAAGAATTGATGTAATTTCACATGAAGTAGCAAAGAATTGATGTAATTTCAGATAAAGTTAAACAGAACTGATCTAACTTCTGTTAAAAGAGCAAAGAATTGATGTAATTTCACATGAAGTAGCAAAGAATTGATGTAATTTCAGATGAAGTTAAACAGAACTGATCTAACTTCTGTTAAAAGAGCAAAGAATTGATGTAATTTCACATGAAACAGAAAATTGATCTATCCAATAACACTGCTTTAGCAACAAACTAATATTCTCAAGGAATTCATCTTATTTCAGCAGGAGTTGAAGTAACTGATTCTGCCGTCCCTAACCTACTTAAACTGTTTTCACTGTAAAGAATAAACATAAATCCAAAGCTTACCACTGAGGTCATCGACTTGAGTAAGGAACATGCCATAAATTGGTCTCGTAATGACACGCTTGATGAGTTCCTTCGTGAGTGGCCAATGAGGATACAGTACAGCCTGTATAGTCACACCCCCAGCGATCATAAAGATGAGAAACATTCGTACAAATGCCACAAAGTCGTGTTTTATCTGTATTAAAAAAATAAACAATTAATAAATGACTTTTTTTTTTGCAACAAAATAGAACACATCATCATCTGACCAAAAAACTAGTGATGTAGGGAGGACAGTATGCGGACAGTTCGTAACACTATCCTCGGAAAGCCATGCATACTAGACTTGTGCCTATATACAACTGGTTGCATGACATTGATAACTGCATTACAGCAAAACATTTAAATTAGCTGTATCAGATTTTAACAAAATATTGTTTTTGGTAATTCATGTCATAATGATTTCCTATCATCATCATAAATGTAAAGTGTTGCTGAATGAAGACCTATCTTCACATGAAGATTATTATCTATTTATCATAACTTTTAACTCACAATGAAATGAAAAAATAAATCTTACACGAATAAAACCAGTATTAGGTAAAGTACTTATTTTTTCTTCTTTCATAACAAAATTACTTTATTCTTTAACATACCATTCTACTTATTCTGAGTAACATTGGTCCGAGGGTAGGACTTATAGGCAGGTACACACCTAACAGCCGGTAGAAGAAGTAGATGAGACCAAAACACATGAAGATTCGTGCGTAAATATAGTCCGAGACGCCCACCCACGTCTGCATGATCCTCGTAACCAATAGCAGTACTAGAAACATCATTATCAGGAATATGTCTACACAATTTCCAAGCAGCGATAATGTCTTATATTTCTGAAAGGTAAAATATAAATCATAGCATTGATAGTCAGCTGTCTCTAAAATATCCACCTCATCATAAAAGACATGATTATTATTTTCAGGAATAAAAAAAAGGCCTTTACCCAGCACTACTGCAACAGAAAAGTATATTAAAACTAGGGTTGTTTCCCCTGCTATCCCATGGGTCAATTGAGGGATTCAGTATTACAAATATCACAATCTCCTACTTTCTATTTTTTTTTTTTTTTTCAAATAATTCAGCTGATTATTGTATATCTATTTATTTGTTACAATCCCTCATTTTTTGGTAGTAATATACAGCAGAACTTACATGGTATTTTCGGTACACTCTACAGACCAACTCCATCTCAATAACAGCAGCCCAGAACCATAGTATCATATCCAGCACCTGGTTCCCACATGTCGGCCACAACGTGGCCAGACAAAATATACCCAGGAAGGCAAAATAAAACACTTGTGTCAACCAGAACTTTGTAATGGGAGCTGTCCATAATAAGTTTATCTTGGTGTGGAATGGTACGTCCCTTTTAGGTCGGAATGAAAGAACCGTCCTTAAGGTGTTGGTTAGAGGTGATGTCTTTTTCTGCAAAAATAGTAACAAAAATGGACTCGCTATTGAAGGAAAGTTAACAAAAATATAGGACAAATGATTTTACATGGCATTACATATATACATATTTTGCTTGTTTATATAGCCATATGATATATAAAGAAACATGACTGTTACTTTGCTGCTACAAATATGTTTGTTAATACAGAATTTGTTTTACATTGACTGTGTAGGAAGCTATAAGCTTATGGAAATACTCTGGAATCCCTTCTTGGAACTAACCAGTTCTGAGCAATATGCATCAAGTCCCTTGCTCAAGGAAACAATGTCTTGCCCCTGACTGGGTTTGAACCCACACAGCTAGAAATCCTTAGATTACTGGTCCACTTGGCTAAACTGTTTCATTTCACAAATGCAACACAGTAAAATAACAAAGAGTACCAAATAAAAAATTCTGATCCATTCTTCTTACTTTGTTTTACCAACTGTTTTTAACTTCTTTTTCAGAACTAGCCAGAAATCACCCTTTTCGGTATGGGATAGTAACTAAAGTTTTCGGTAAGAATCCTCGGTATTACATAATTATCTCTGGAAATCAATTCAACAATCAACAAGAGCTGACAGTGGAGACAGCACGCTGAACTAGTTAAATACTGATAAATACCTTGTGTAAATTATCCATGGTTGATTTCGTGAAATGTGGCATCTCGTCTT